TTATTCTGCTACCACTTAAAATTAAACTTATTACCATAAGATAGATTTATATGTTGAAAATTGATATTGATGGTCACCTTCTCTTCCATAAGGCTTGCTTGGTAGCACACAGTGATAAACAACTTCAAAGTATTAACTTTGACAAAAAACTTTCACATATTGTATGATGGTTGACTATATGCAACATTATTTCTTTGGCTGTTTAATGTGCCAGTCTCTATTGTATATAGATGTAAAATATAATTTCTTGAATAGCAACATTGTCAAAGAAATATATGTTTGATAACATCTTAGTTTTTTTTAGCCCAAATTCAAATACTATATCTATTAATTATGTAAAAATCTTTATAGACTTTGATAGTCACCTTGAGTTTGGAATGCTCATCTAAATATCTTTCTTTATAATATTGACCTCAAATAGTCTTGTATTGATCTTAACCAATATATTTACATCAATTATGATAGAATGGTTTTATTAATCATCTAAGTTGACAATCTTCTCTTTCCAAGTAGTCATCAAATCAAAATCCAATAGCTTGCTATACATTTACATTTTAAATTTTAAATTTCCATGTTTGGTCTCTTAGCAATATATTTAGACTTTACATTTCACTATAAATCTATTAGCATATTTAAGTCTCATTCCTAATACATTCATCACTGTCTAGATGACTTAAGCTTATTGACATATTTGATTGTTGTTGTCTTCTTAGATTTCACAATTAAATTATCTCCATATATGGATTTCCTTCTTTTACTTGATACAACTTATTATTGAGTGATTTTTGAGAAATTACTTCATTTAAATAATACTTATTCTAAAATTGTCTTTATTGTCAAAGTTTTGACTCATTCATTCAAATTCTTCATAAAGCTTATCTTGAAACTACCATTCATGTATTGTGTTATCTCAAAGGTACAATTGACTTTGTAATTCTCTATCAATAAGAAGAAAAGATGATTCTATTTGGCTATATTGATAGTGATTTTTTAGGTGATTTAAATGAACAATGTTTGATTTTAGGATACATGTTCAATATTAAAAATGGATCTATTTTATAATGCACTTAGTTGCACAACAAAATAACTCAGTTGAACTTTGAAGTTGAATATTGTGCTTATACAAAAGCAACTAGAAAAGTTCTATAGTTACTCAACTTCTTTGATGATATTTGTATGTCCCTTAAAATCATAGATTTTGTGAATTAGTAGTAGAATTCTTAGGAAAAATCAGAAAATAGATTGCTCATAGTAAATATGCAACCTAAGATAGAATTTATTAAGACAAAATTCCATAATGAATAGGTTTTTTTGTAGTTAACATTAGATGATGGCCAGTAGAAGTAGCCCTCATTGTCAAAAGAAAATAAAAATAAAAATAAAAAATTATTTTATTAATAGTTCTTAAAACATATATATATATATATATATATATATATATATATGTTATTAAAAATTATATATATATGTGTTATTAAAAATTATGTATATATATATATATATATAAATAAAATATCAAAAGAGTAATAAAAAGAAAAGAGAATAGAAGAAAAAAGGAAAAAAGACAAAAGAAGGATATAAATAAATAAATAAATAAAAAGGAAATAAATAAAAATTAAAAGGTGATCAAGAAGGCGAGAGGCTGCCCCAAAATGGCGGCAGCCTCCTCGTCGACAGGAGTCCGACAGCAAAATCTCTCACTCTCTTATTTTTTTGGTTTTTTTTTCATGCAAGGAGAAGCTCCGCATCAATTGGGATTGCGGCCGAGAATCTCCATCTCCTCTTGTGTAGTACAAGGGGCTCGGAGGCTGAGTTTTTTGGTTGCAGCATGAAGAGTTGTGCAGTGACAGAATGTGCCTCGTTGACCAGAGCCGCATTCGGCAAATAGAAGCAACATGACTGAATTTTGGGCTCCGCTTGTTACAAGCTCTACTGATTGTTTTCCTCTATGTGTGCGACTGGATTGGTCTCCGACAAGGGCAGCTAGAAGTGGATCCTTCTTCCGTTCTGTGTTCAAGTGCACTTCTATTTTTTCTGGTTTCTATATTCAAAAGAAGCTCCGAAGGTGGTGTAACTGCTACGTGCAACGATGTGCTAGCGGTGGGCTGCTAGTGGTGTTTTCTCTCGTTGATGACTCTATAGTGGGAGCGTCAAATCTGGTTTTCATGAATTCCAGGCGCTTTGGATCAGTTTCTTTCTGCTTTTGAGTGAGGTGCTGCGATGCGGCCCTCTCTTGCAGAAATGATGTTTGCTACAATGCAGCAATAGATTGGAATGAGGGTGCTCTTATATAGTGTGCGGAGAGTCACCAAGCATGGTTCTTCATTTTCTGGGGTGTCTTTCTTGAGCTTGCTTGAGCAATCGTTGGTGGAGTTATTGTCAACGATTTGAATGAATGAGGCAATGCAGTACCAACAATGTGCGGCAAGGATCTCCAAAAATTGGAAAGATCTAGAAGGTTGCTGTTGTCAACGGTCTGCTATTGCACGGCGTCGCGTAGCATCTAAACGGCTTGATGGAGGGATTCTTCCTCACAATTGTTGATTACGGTTCAGCGGTGCTCATCGATTTCATGTTGACCTTGTTTTTTGCGTGGTTTTTGTAACAACGGAAGTGATTCTTGGTTAGAGGGTGCTCAATACCGCTTGTTTTGAAGAGACATTGATTTTTTGTTGGTTGCACTACTTTTCGTGTCCTGGCGTGGAAGTTCGATTTTCTACATTCAGTTCTTCTTGCGGCTACAGTGGCGAGCTTGTGGTTGGCGGCGGTTGTTTTCCAACAATTCTAAGGTGCTGGGCAAAAGGATTCTGCTAATACTAGCATTGCAACTTTGCTTAATTGCGTGCGGTGGTCAAGGGACTACTTCCTAGTCCTCAACAGTTCAAAATTTCAGTCAGCGGTGATTCTCTCGAAGACTAGAGAAGTAGACCCAGAAGGGTGTTGTTGAGTGGTTTTTTCGCTGGTCTGTATTTGTGTTCTTTTTTCGTTGTGTTGCAACGCCAGTGGAGGCGACTGCGACATCGTCGCGGCTGGTTCTTTGTGTGGGGTGTGATTCACCTCCAATCGACTACACTGGGTTGCAGAGGAGGAACATAAATAGTCAGGAAGGCGCTTGATTCAAGGATCAACAGCTCAATCGCTCTACTCCGTCAAGGGAGCTCGCACTTCTAGGTTCGAGGGTTGAGAATTGCGAGTCCAGGAGCAGTCAAGGATCTTCTTGACTACCATCATCTTGTGAGCAATTCAGATCATTTATAAAGGATCTATAATTTATAAGGGAATAAAATTGTCATTGGACGCACACATTTACAAATATATATATATATATATATATATATAATAAAATAAAAGGTTAGAACTTGGTTAAAAGTGGATGGTTAGTTATTTATTGGATGAAAAATTAAGTAAAAGATGAATTATTTGAATATGGATAGAATTTAAGTATGAATGACAAATTATTCATGGATGATTTTTTATTCTTTTATTCTTATTCTATTTTTTAATTATAAATTTTACTTAAATAAAATACGAATAAAATAAAATAATAAAAAAAATTAAATTAAGAGTTAGTAGAAGGAATTCCCTTGGATATGCATTTTTGTGGATAATTTGCTATTGTAATTGCAGGTTGGTAATAGAGATTATGCTTAACTACTTGGATGAATTAAGAGTTTTAAGTGTGAATTGATTAAAATTTAAATAAGAACTAAAATTCTAAAATTAATTCACTTGTTGTGATCTAGAATAAACTTTCAATGTCATTTATTATTTTTGTATTATTAATGGGTTATCATTTTGCTACATTCTCATTATTGAGCATCAAGATTAATTATTGTAGCAATCTAATGAATTCAAGTAAATACAAATGGATAAATTAAAGACTAGTATACTTTTAGATAAGTTACACAATTCAAATGAATATGAAAAATATTATCCCTCAAATGACTCACCATTTTTGTTGTCAAATGACTTTACATGCCCAACATTGAGTAATGCCTTCCTTGTACATCATGTGAATAGCTAATAACAATACCTTGGCCACTAAATACAAGGGCCAGAAGAAAATTTCATTTGGAAGTGCTCATAAACTTCAAGTATTGCATGAATGAAATATAACTGTTTTTCCCTCCCGAGACAAGACTTCTACCAAGGAAACAACACAAGCTTTATTTCAAGCTTACCCAAATGAACTTCATCAAAGCAATTACAAACATTGACACCCACTATAAGTTCACATGACCTCTCAAATAATCAACTCTCCGTCCCATTCCCCAACACTAATCCCCACTATTGTAGTCATGAACATGGTGACTATAAGCGGCTTCAAAATTAGGGTTTCAATGATCAGTCTCTGAGAACCTACAGTCCAGAATCTCATTGTCAGCACATCTGGACTGATCTGGGGTAAATCACTTGTGGGTTCTGGTCTTGGGCATAACTTCTCCGTTCAAAAGCCTGGGCTCTAACATGATATCCTTCTTGTTGCAAGCAGCTCGAAAGGCTGAGCCCTGTTACAAATTCATCTCTTTGTTGCAATTAAATTAGAAACCTTTGGTAGTGTCTTTGGGATTTGAGCAGTGCAATCTGTGACGGACAAAGTATGGCTAGTGAGCTTGGTTACGAATGTAAAAGTGATGGACTGGAAAGAATGCAAAAGGCAGAAGTAGTTCTTTAGAACTTGGCAGATACAACTGTTTTATCATTTTTAGATCAAATTTGAGAATGGGGAGGCTAGTTTAGAGCCATAAGGTTGCTGTCAGAGAAGAAGGGTATTTGCAGACTGTTGTAGTTATCAGTCAGCGGGTCATCAAATGCATTGTTTAGTATTGTACGTAATATTTTTTTCTATTCGGTCGTTTTGACACTACAATCCCAGTTCTGCATTCTCTTCCTCTCTTAATTTATGCAATCAGATTTTATCACATGGAAGCAGACTGAACAGTTTTTAGTACCTGGCAGCAGTTTGGGCTTCGATCGGTTGAAAATTTTTAAAAAGCATCTGTCCACCATGATACAACACAGGAGCAGCATATCTGGCCCCTTTCATTCTTGTGGGTATGTACACTGCGGATGTATCATGTGTATTAGAGAGAATGTGCAGACAAAGAAACACTACAAACAAAAGAACACACTTCAGGGCGACACAATCCAGCTACAGTTCAACATGGATTCCCAGATTAGAGAACACAATCTAACCAGTTTTCGTATCATGAAGTACAAGAGCTCACTTTGAACCAGACACATGATGGTGTGGCAAATGGATCCTCGGTGCTCACAACAAGACACAGATCGTGAGCAAATCTTAAGGATTCATGGCTCGGTTAGAATGAGAAGATATGGACTTGGAAATCCCTGCGCTGCTTGCCTTCATCTGGGTCATTCAACACTCAAGAGCGAAGGCCAGGTTGAAGGGTTACTGAATTAGTGGATTCCATGCTCTCTAAGGTCGCCAGAAGGGCCGCCGCAATGATGCAGCCGTTGTTCCAGCTGAATCACTGGTGGAGAGTTCAACAGCAACTTGCATTTGCGCCCGGTGTTCTTGCGAATGTCGGCGAGTCTGAGGATTGGACGTAATTGCTTCTCTTAGTGTGTCTGGATATGTCTTCCTGAGCTGCAGAGCACCCTGCGACCTCGGCTTCGGGTTTGCACAAGGGGAGGATAAGTGATTCAAGCCGGGTTGCAGTCCAGGACAGCTACCGACACTCTCTCCATCATAGTTCTGCTTTTCATCATCCTCAGCGAATCTAAGCTTTCGGATGCCGAACCGTGGCTTACTCATCTGGCTAGTGTCACAACTCTCTGCCAAGGTGGACACAGCTTTGCTTTGGTGATGTCTTTTGAGTTCAGAATGTGTCAGTTGAGATCGTTCTGGAGTTCCATGTGTGTGTTTGTTCAGCGGTGATGGTGTCGCAGGAGATGCCTTCGATTGCCACAGACCAGCTGCATGCTGTTGCCGCAGAGAGAGAGGCCATGGATACGTCATCGGACACTTTCGGCCCATGTCGGTGGCACTGTCAACCTCGGTGGTATACACCTCAACCGTGCTATTCACCGAAACACTTTCACTAACTGGCTCTTTGATGTCGAACATGTCGTTATCGAACACCTTGCTCGGCATCTTGTTCGATCCCATTTTGACGGTGCGTTCTAGCCAATTCCATACCCAGCTGGACTTATCAGGAAACGTATTGTCCACGATCAACGCAGGTGTTTTCGCTGACGGTGATCTGGATGTTTTCCATTTTTGCCGCGATGATGCATACTCCATCGCCCGCTCGCGTTTCATGGCCGCTTCTCGCTTGCCTTTCAGAATCGCCTCGCAATCCTGTGCCGTGCGAAGACTCCCGTTCCAACTCTTGCTCATTTGTTCCATTCTTCTGGCTCTTGGTCCAAGAGCATTGTCTAGTTTCTGCGGGTTCGTTTTCGACATCCGTGTGCTGATGGACAGGACTTCCTCAGCCTCCTCGTCTGTGAGTTCCCCGCTCAGGTACTTAGCGAACCTTCTGCGAGCCCTGTAGCCTCGGATTGCAGCTTGGATTTTTACAGCTGCGCGGATTCTGTCCCTCTCATTGGAGGCAGTGACATCCTTAACAGTTTCGGAACCCAGGTTTGCGGATTGCACACCATCTTCCCTTGAACCCAGAGATGAAGCACCATTAATGACAGCTTTTGGCAACGGCAACTTCGTTTTGGTAGCTTTAGGACAAAGATTACAATCAACTCTTGAAGCACGAGATCCCCGTGATCCCTTCCTGTCTGGAACAGAAGCAACCTTCGCCAACTGCGCCGCCTTTTTCAGGCTCCTTTGCGTCATCAAATCAGAAAGCTTGCTGGTGGCAGCGGCTGGAAACAGAGCTTGAGCAGAGGACTTCACCTTAGTGAATCGACTTGTTGGAGACGGGCCTCCTCCTAACAGGCTAGGTTTTCCGAAACTGTTCCACCGGCCTAACATGTAATTCCTTTTAGCAATTAAAAACGATGGCGATGACGAGGCAGTCATCGGCTCCCGTTGTATCGTTGGAAGAGGTCCTGACAGATATCTCTTGAACTTTACTTCAGGAGGGAGATTTCTTTCCATCTCTAACTCGTTAAAAGAACGCCTCAGCCTTGGAAGTGGTCCTGATTTGTGGTGTGTTTTAGCCTCGGGAGCTTCCATCCCAGGAGGTACTGAAAGTGGCGGTGGTGGTGGCGTCGGCAACCGTGTGGCCACTGCCGGAGTAAAGACGACATTCTTTGAACTCCTGGCATCTTGCAGCGTTCTCGGCCTGAACGAAGACCCTGCACAAAGAGGTAGAGCGGATTCGACTGATTTTCGATGGGGGATTAGAGACTCGGAAGTTGTAACATGGTTTTTCACATGAGAAGCGCTGAAAGATTTGCGTCGAAACAGACAGGGGAAAGAGAGGTCCTTGATGGGAGAGGATATGTGGATCTCCGCCGGCAATTCAAAGCTCTCAGAGAGATCGTCCCGCTCAAGTGTAGAATGAGAGATGGTATCTAGCTGACAGCAGGTTTCAAGCTGTTTTCTCACCACGGAAGCCGCCCACGTTGTCTTCTTCCTCATGGTACCCTTGTCTTCTTACCCAATCAGCTACGAACGCATTCCATACCCAGAAAGACTTGGCAAGCTGGCGCAAGGTAAAATCTCTTCCACCTCAGTTGTCGCCGTTGATGAAGATGGGAAAAATTTGGTACTATTTCGCTCAGTAACAGATTCTCTACAAAAATTGTTCGAGTCGTAAGTTCGTATCCATTGACATTACTAATTGGGTGGTTGCACACAGCAAGACGATTCTCGATGTCGTACTTGACATCAATGTAGCGATTCTGAGTACAATGTGTCAGCCTCTCGTGTGGAGTACCTGACCAGCAGAACAAAGGGGATCTAAGAGTCAGGATTACGATGCCAACAACGGGACTGGCGCTACTGAATTTCCGCCATGAAGATACTAGATGTGCATGAAATCACTTGAACTTACTGCTTCGTCGATTCAAGAACTCTGACTCGCACACATCAATGAGTAGTTTTTGACTCTGATATCTAGGGAACTCTTTCGAATCGAACCATAATCTGCAGCACGAAACCTAATCTCAAGCCTAGAAGCGGAGGACAAAATCGCGATCGACGCATGTGCTTGTAAACTCGCCACAATTCAAACTGTACGCTCTATACGCATAATATGAAAGCGATAAGAATCACAAAGCAGGTCGGAAGAACTCCTACAGATGGGTTGAAAGCTTTGAAGACACAGTATCCTCATCTGCATCCTACATTGGTGATATGACACCCTCAGTGAAGATCTGTTTGTCCAGAACTGAAGTAAAAAATCCTAGAGGTAAGAATGGACTAGAAGACGAAGCAACCAGAGCATTGTAATCGTTGAATACCATGCGCCGAGACAGCCAGTTATAGATGAGATTTTCATACCTGACGCACTTTAGATTTCATTTCTGGAGGCCACCACGAAAGTATCAATGCACGCGTGTCGCTCCAGTTGCAAAACCCAGAAGGTGGGAACAGCCCCATGAGCCCCCAGAACTTCTGCGAAGCGAGCTGAAACGACCATTGCACAACATTTCCAAGACGATACTAGAACTCTCGCTCCTGAACAGCACCATGAGCCCCCAAAATTGAACGCTAGCAGAGGCCTACTACCAACTGCAATCCCGACCACAACCTCACATTTGATCTATGGCAAAGCTCCAAGGGCACGAAATCACAAAGGCGGCTCAATGCATTGCGCGGGAGTGGAGACACCGGAAGAGCTATAAGAAATCAGCATTCGAAGTGATGGAGCCGATTGGGAACCCTCACGAAGCACGGCAAACAACACGAAATGATCTGCGAATCTAGTGCTCCATTCGGGGCTAGATCCTTGAAGAATCCAGCTGAATCACTGGATAACGGGCAGAGGGATGCTCCAAAGACTCACATAGCATCCATTCCGCTCTTTCAGCCCCGACGTCGCACACCTGTTGCGCGCATATCTAAGCTAATACCAAGTCCAAGACCACGAACACCCAACCGCTGCGCTCCAGAATTCGTGTATTCCTCCCCCGCATCCCACTCTGAAACCTATTTAAGCCAAATGCAGCAGCACTCAGTTACAGCATCACCGCCGAACAAAACACATCCTATCCAGAAGCACAACGTCTCGCCCTACACTCCCGCATCAAGAGAGGAAGAAGAAGAAAGCACCCGCTCTCGAATCAAAAATCTCGGCATTCTCTGGCGGCTTCCCCCCCACAACACCCAGAGCTATCTAGATGCGCAGCAATGCCGCACAGACCAAGTTGCAGCAGCAGCAGCGCTGAGAACAACGCGGGCAAGATGAGCAGTCGCGAGATTGGGAACTAATCTAGAGTGCATGCCCCCGTGACAAGTAATGCCGCATCGCATGGTCTCTCTCGTGGGGGGGAATCTGGTGCCCTCCGACGGCTCCGCCGCAGAAGGCCCCACAACAAGAGATGATGATACGAAGCTGCATTCCCTCCCTCCCCTTTCCTTTCGCGCCTCAATGAAACAATCAGTGCAGCCTTCCTTCTCTTCCCCCGAGCTCTAGCTCGCTCTCTCTAGCTCTATTCTTACCACCCGTCCTACTCCTCGCAGTTAGATCATCCACCGTGGCGTTAGCATTCATCAGTCCTCGGTTGACTTGGCTTCCTGATGCGGCGATCGGACTGACTAAATCGATATAAACAGGAAGAGGAGCCCCCCATGGATCGATGCCACTGGGCACTTGCTCCCACCCTGAAACCAATCTGCAACTACAGTTACTCCTACCATCACCACCACTACTACTACTAATTTCCCAGGCAGTAAAAACTAACACACTCTCATAGACCCACAGACACATACACACATAGAGAGAGCAATATGCTCACAGGATAGCACTCTAGTGAATCAATCCACCCCAGTGTGTTTATTTATTTATTGTTTCATTTATTGCTTTTCTGCAGCCTGGCACGGTTTTGTCGATACCGAAACCTGCACATTTCTACAACGCACTCATCCACATTGGTTTTTGGCTGTTTTTGGTTCCGAATTCACCTTTTTTCATTCCCTTCATGACAGTCCATGAGCTTCAGGTACCCCTCCCAGTGCCGCCTTGCTAATGTTCACTTTTCTAATTTCGATGCCTGGTGCGTGATTGTGCAGTGACTGTTTCGTCTGATTCCTCGCATGATTTGACGCGCTTCTTTTTTATTTTGGCTCCTCTGCTGCTGTTGCGAGTTCGTTCCACTCCGGTGTAGCTCATTCCCACTTGCCCAAGTGTGCCTTTTTTGTGGGGGTTTTGATGTCTGTTTCTGCACTTACTCTGCTGATTTGTTGCGTAATCCTGCATTTGTTGATGTGGGATTGGTGCTGATTTGTTCATGAGGTGTTGTTCCCAATCTTGTGTGATGTAATTGTAAGTTTTGTGCGGTCTAATTTAAGTGTGAAATTGTATTGAATGACTTTGAATTTGTAACTATTCAAGGTTGATGGTTTGAATTCCAGCTATGAAAACTTAATCTTCCCTACATAGATTGTAGACCTTGTGCTGGATCTAACCCACACAAATCTTTAATATTAATATTAAAATAAATTAATAAAATGTAAAATGTTCTCTTTCAAGATAGAATATGTTATTTTAGGCTTTTGTGGATGTTTTATAATGGTTTGTTTTTACATATTTATATTTGTATGTATGTATGTATGTATGTATGTATGTGAGTGTATATGTATATGAGTTGACACATATTATTGACATATTTTTATATTAACAATTTAAATACTTGAATTGCAAGTAGATTAAAATTTTAATTATAAAATAAATATATCTTATTAAATCATATATTAAAAATAAAAATTAATTTTAAAATATGCACACAAGTTATGGTACGAAATATATAAGATTATGACATACAAACTATAGATTGTGTGTTTTGATGCAAACAATGTACTCTTTTTGATTGTATTTTAATTTGCATTGTCAATGACACAAAAAAAATACAATATAATCCTTTTTATGTTGAATTTTTATTTTATTTAGAATTATTTTATTATAAACTAATAAAACTAGGTATAAAAATTAAATTTAAATGAACTAAATATTACCAAAGTTTGATTGAGATGTTGGAGTAAAAGATCCCTACAGTTGAAGATGTTTGATATGTTATAACCAATTAGTAAATTATGAAAAGCTTTAGTTTGAATTTTCTAAGAAATGTAACACTAAAATTTGAATGGTTGTAGCAATTAATAGTTAAAGTCTTTATATTGGTATAATTATTGAAATATTTTTGTTTGTGTAAGCAATGTCTTAATTTAATATTGTTATTGATAACAACAAAAATATACTTGGATTAAAAAAATTAGAATTAATATTTATAGATTTTAAACATACTTGAGTTGTATTATATTATGATATTTTTTTACCATATATATATATATATATATATATATATATGTAATTTTTCTATATTTATACAAAAAAATCCTTAACTTCCAAGTACTTCAAAATTTTGTTTTTAATTTCAACAAACAGAAAAATTTCCAAAAATAAACTCATTGCAATAGTTAACTACATATGATTTTTTACAGGAATAAGTATAATTAAATCTTATAAATTTCTTAATCACAAATAAAATGTGAGTATTTTGATTAACGACCGATAAAAAATAAAAATAAAGTAGAGGATAAATGATAATGTTATGTCTTTGAAAATCAAAGTATAAGAAGAATTTATAAAAATATCATATCAGTTTAATACCAAAAAAAAGTAGAAAAAAAAAGTAGAAAAAAAAAAAAAAAAAAAAAAAAACGGTTATGTCAATACACAAAGAGATTATTTTTATCTTACTATGTAGCCACAAGGTAACTATTAATAACAATAATAAAAAAAGAAAGATGAGTTGCGTATACAAAACATAAATTTAATATTGCTTCTATTTGTACTAATTGATGTAGATGTTTCATTGAGAACTTATAAAATAAAATATTTTGATTGCAATCATGTGGTTTTTCCAAGAAGATTTTTATTACTAAAACTTATCAAAAATCTCTCATGATGTCTTTCAAAATATTATATATATATATATATATATATATATATATTATTAAAGTTTTTAGAATGTCTCGTCAATTATATAAAATAGGTTTTTATTGCACCTTTTATAAAAACCTTTGAACATGTACCTATCATAATTTCTTAGCCAAAGCTTTTAAAACCCTCCACATTTATTTTTTATCCATTAAAATCCTCTTCTCCTCTCTATCTTGAAAAACTACTCTAACATTAGACATATTATAATCTAAAAAATACTCCAAGAACCAAAATCATTCCTTGAATAACAAAGGTTTTCACCTATTGGTGCGTAATTTATTTTTTAGAATATATCCATCATAAAAAGGAAACCATTCGATTTATAAATAAATAAATAAATAATCACCAATGAATTTGTAAAAATCCACGCGGCTTTTCCAAATTTCACATTCTACCTCTAATTAAATCAGCTTGACTGGGAACATGGTTCCCAAACCTCACGACCTCAGGACCTTCAGTGAACAGCTCTGTTCCCACATCTTGTTCACATCATAGTCGAACGCGGGCAAAGGGCATACAAGAGAGAAAATAATAAAAATAAAAATAATCTTTTGTCTGCCCGGATGATAAAAAGTTCTCAAGGATGAACACAAAAGCGGCGAGGAGTCGCCTCAAGGACCTTCAGGTTCCCCAAATTCTGTGGATTTGCCTTTATTCAGGATATCTACAGATTGTCTAGATAATCTTGTGGTCGTAGGAGGTTCGAAGAATCTGTCCAAGTCTGGCTATGGCGGACCAGGGAGAGGGACTGAGTGAGTATATTTTGTCGAGAATACTTTGCTTCCACCTGGTGTCATGTTTGTTATGAATTGCGATTCCCTTTACACTTCCGCTGCCGTATTTTTAAGATATATCGTGGCTCGTTTCTGAGTCTTTGTGTCGCTCGAACAAGAACTTTTGTGAATTTTTTTGCGTAGCGTGAGTGTTTGTTTGGAGATTCTCGTCAAGGGTTACGAGGTTGTGAGAGTTTTTTTTTTTTTTTTTTTGTTGGAGGTCTTTGAACGTGGTGTTTTGGTGTGCGTCGCAGCGATTAGAGTTCCCGTAGACGTGCTCTCTTGAATGAGCCTTGTGTCGTTGTTTTCCGTTTTGTGAGGTGTTAGGAATTCTGGTTGGATGGTTGATTTTCTTGGGGTTTTGAGCGATCTAGATGTTCGCGTCGTGCGGGAGGAGATCGGGTTTGTTTGACAAGAGAAGTGTGAGTAGTGCGACACATTCACCATAGGACGTCACCGACTGTGAAGGAGTTGTATACTGTTGAGGGCACTGGAGACGTATTTATCATGGCTTTGGTAGCTGTAAAAGATGGAAACGATGATGCTGTTTGCCGACGGGGTCATAGTTCGATGTTGGTGGTGAGCGAGAAGCGTGTGTAGGTCTGGAGCGAGTAGATACCTGGAGGCGAGGCTGGATATAGGAAACAAGCATCCATGGCTTGTGTAAGTATCTTCTCTCATAGTCTCTCTTGTTCCTGACCCGTGTAGGCCTCTTAACGGTTCATGTGCTTGTAGCCGTCAGGGCCTCAGGGTGAAGACTACCTTCTTGGTGATTCAATTGTGGACCATGTACATATATGTTGTATGCGTGTGAACATTGCTGCCTCTAAACTCAGCTTACATATTGACGAGTTGAAATAATCAGCTACCACTTGGTTTTCTTATTGGATGAAATTCCACATGACTTTCCATCTGGTGCTCTTAGGCTTCTCGTACTCATACACCTGTGAATGATGGTTCCGAATTTCAAATGCAATTCTTCAGTTTATCAGTGTCTTCTACCCCTTTTGACCAGTTCATAAGGCGAATCCTTCACCGTGGATTTGTAGTGCTTATGCGACTTGTATCTATACTTTTGCACGGGTTGCGCATGATTCGTTCAACTGCATGACGATTTTAGCTCTAAACTCATGAATGGCGTGATTTTAAAGTATGTAAAGTCCATGTGTTGGCGCTCTAGGTTTGACGTACTTTATACCTCTTTACAACTGAGTGTCTTTCACATATTGCACTCTTTCTGATTTGGTCGTATTTATGAAAGTGTGATTTTGTTGAAATTCCGTTGGTTGGTATCGTGATTATTAATATTATCTGTCACTGTACCTGTGTCTTGTACAATCAGACTGAGTTTTGATGCATTCGGGCAGCTGGGTAACGGGCTCAGTCAAGATCGATTTACGTGCGTCTGCGTTTCTCTTCCACAAGTACACTGTGTGTGCGGCGGCTCTTGTAAGGAGGGAGATTCCAGGTGGTTTACTCTCTTGCAGATTGCCTTGCAGAATCGGTAATCGTGATCATTGCTGATGGACTTTGGTATTCAAAACTCAAATCAACTGTGTAGCTGGAACCAAGACTTAAACCGAATCTCAGAACTCCATGGCCTCTGTAAGTAATTTATGGTAACTGCATGTGAGCCAGTATTTGTGCCGAGGTAGTGAATGTGAAGTTATGGAAGACTGTCTGGATGCGTTTTGATCTTAGTCAGTGTTTTTGCGTTCCTTTGTTCTGCAGACATGCACTTGTCGCGTTGAGTCTGGAAGTGCTTGTGCTGCGGGGTGCTTGCATTTGTCGATCGTATCATTTAATGTGGTTAGCGTAAGTTCTTTGCCAGCTCCGCTGAGTAGGTGGTAACTTAAGCAGCTATGAAAAGAAGTTGAATGCTACTCTCTTGTCATGTAGTGTCTGAACTGATTAGTAAATCATATGCATTGTTTACACAATGACTTCAATTTCTAATTCGATAGTTGTTATGTATCTCTTGACAGTGGTACCTAGAATCACTTTCTAGTCTCAGTAGTGGATCATCTTATCTGCAGTGTTGTGCAAGCATTAATTCATTACAAGGGGTTTGTACGAATGAGTTGTTAGTACTGGCTGAGTGTTGAGACATTTTTTAAGCAGATATGTAAGCTGCAGTCTGTATGGTTATATTGTTCTTTTTTTAATGGACTTATTTTAGATGTAATATCTGCTTCAAGTCGACGTCTGCTCAATATGATGTACGAATATACTTATGTATCTTATCCTCAGGGTTTTGAGGGGAAACACACCCAAGCGAAGAGGACCACAGAACAACCAAAGCGCCTCATTCCTGTCATTCCTGCCCATGGATTCTAATGGCCACAACGAAGGCGAGAACGGAGAACAGGCACTATTGGGAGGACCACCGGACATTAATCTACCATTGTCAATCGAGATTTGCTCAGACCCTTGGGGTCTAAAGCCCTCGGACTTGCTGCATAGTAGCTTGGCTCCAGCTCAAAATCTTGATTTGGGAAATTCTACATCTTGCAAAGGACGGCGGTGGGTGCGACGTGGTGATACCATCTGGGGAGCTTGGTTCTTTTTCAACCACTATTTCAGACCTGCACTTAACGATGAACGTCTGAGCAAGCTTCAACGGGAGGGCATTCTGGCTGCCCCCGTGGATAAATCTGATCTGCGACTTGACCTTTTCCTAGTGCAACATGACATGGAAAATATGTACATGTGGGCTTTCAAGGAGAGACCTGAGAATGCCCTAGGGAAGATGCAGCTTCGAAGCTACATGAATGGTCATGCAAGATTTGGTGAACCACAGTTTCCTTTCAGTGCAGACAAAGGATTTGCCAGATCTCATCGAATGCAGAGGAAGCATTACAGAGGCTTATCGAACCCTCAGTGTGTGCATGGTGTTGAGGTTGTCAGAGCTCCAAACCTGTCTAATGTCAGTGAGGAAGATTTAAAACGGTGGACGGAATTGACGGGTAGAGAGATGAACTTTGTAATACCTCCAGACGCCGAAGGTTTTTCTGAGTGGCGAAGCCTTCCGAACACCGACTTCGATTTAGAGCGTACATTGTCTCCTTCTCAAAGCAAACCTCCGAATGGATATTCCAAGAAGCATGCATCAACACGATCGGGACGAATGAATGAGGGTAATGTAAGTGCTGCTAGTCAGTTGCCAAGTCCTGCTAGCAGTGGCAGTCGAAGCTTGAGTCCAGGAGGGAAGAGAAAGAAGTCTAATTCCATTCATCCTACTGGGCTCTTACCCTACGGCAATGAAGCCGATTCGTGTGTGCCAGTAGTCAGCTATGCTGGTCCAGAAAACTTTCATCCAGGAACGGAACCATGGTGGCTCTCAAGCTTCTCAGGAGTGATGACTGAACCTTGTGGACCAGTTACAGGATCCAAGACTATCTACGAGGATGAGAAAGGTTATCTTGTCATGGTAAGCTTGCCTTTTATAGATTTGCAAAGGCTGAGGGTTTCTTGGCGAAACACTGCAACAAATGGCATTTTAAAGATTCATTGCACCAGCACAGCCAGGACTCCAACAGTGGTGAGGGGAGACAGGACCTTTAAGCTAACTGACCCGAATCCAGAACATTGTCCAGCAGGGGATTTTGTGCGGGAGATCGGACTAGCTACAAGAATCCCTGAAGATGCAGAGCTGAAGGCCTTTTATGCGGAGGGATGCGCTGGCCTAGAGATACTGGTCCCAAAGCATAGTGTAGTCTCGGAGGAGAGAGAAGTTCGGGTTTTCTTGCCACCTCAAATGAATCAGACTGAAGCACTCCAGCTGTGAACACCGTGTTGCAAGTTGGCGAACAACACTGTTTTCAATCTTTACTGCAGAAGTTGTAAATTGTCATTTTTATGTCGCTAAGTGATTCTTATGTTCTGATTTTATATTTCTGAGTGATACTTATGTCCCTCTATACTTCATCAGAGTTCCTCTTATTTAGTATAAGAAAGACTTCGAAACTGAAGGTTGAAAGTGATTGTTTATTTCTCTTATTAATTCATGTCTTGTGGTGCACGTTTATTGTTGACTAGTTCACTGGTTGCGCACGCATTTTATTGCAGTTGTCACCTTCATTTCGGATTTACAGCGTACGTCTTACAGATGGGGAGCTATTTACGGTTCGGCAATCTTAGATGGGATTAGTGCACGTGTGTCGGAGGTTTGGTTTGCAAGTAAGTTGGATTTTTCTTCTAGTGCACTTTCGCAATTATGTCAGACACGTTCGTGAGCTAAGGCTCCGATACGCTTTGCGCAGTGCAAGGAGGTGCGATAACGTCATCCATACTAGGATGTTCCGAACACTTATATAGCAGCTCTTTTCTGGATTTTTAGGTTTTTCTACTTCTATGACGGGATGGTTTGTAAGAATGCAGCATGTTCGTACATCAACCATTAACCTTTCATTTCCCCTTCCCATTGAGAATATAATCTAGCATTTCTAGAATGCCTATTGAGGTTTATGGATGAGCACTGCAAGTGCCAGTTTCAGAAGTGTTGGGAATAGTGCCAAATGCATTGAAGTTGAAAAGAGTAATCGGTTCTCATGTGTCGATCATACAATGGTAATCTGTCCCGGTTGAAAATCATCGATGTGCTCTGCCGGCCCAATCATAGGATCAGTTTCAATCACCCTAGTTTTCTTCATGTACACATAGTCCACTATGTGTGCTGACTCCTGCAGTTCCTCAAGCTCCTCTTCTGCAAGCGAGGGAAATACTAAGCTGCTTCCCTGTCTTGCTTCGTTCTAGCCGCTGCAAGAGCAAATTGGGTTTGCCTCGATTCAGCAGCTGATCTTTCAGCCATCATATCTATTAACTATTGGAGTCGGATGACAGGTCTTTCGATCGTTGCCGTTCAAGTCAAGGAACAGACAGTGACAAAATTGCCAATGTCTGTTCACCTATTGCCTGGCGAGCTCATTTACAAACTGAACATCAGCTCATCCAACTCTCTTCATCTGCGCAAACATCAAGTAAATACTAGATTTTGTACATGGACGGACGTAGAACCCACATAGTAACTCTCATTTCAGCTGTGATAAAATTGAAAATTTAATTCGGATCATTCAGGTGAACAAACTTTCAGAAAACCATCTCACGGAGGCCTTTTTACAGATCTGTTCCTTGAAATTCAAATAATCTCGTTGGATATCAGGGTGAGCACTTATGTGAGCAACTGGTGGATAGAAAGCATTTTTTGCAAAATATCTCAAAAGGTATGTGGCTCTTCATAGTGAAATGACATCTCCCATGGCTGACTAAGACTTAACCTCCTGGAGAAGGATCGACTTGGGAATCGCTCTCGACCATTCTTTGGCTTCCAGCTAAATTTACCACCTACAGTTCCATCTGAATTTGCTCCACAAGTCGCGTTATCGCCTTCAACCTCGACACAATGCACGTCAGAGGCTCTGTCAGAGGAAAAAACTGTTACAGCAAACAGTTGAAACAGTATTCGGTGGCTACTCTCTACAATTATGAAACGGTATTCGGTGCCGAATTCCTCCTCTACACGTAAACTAAGTTAACAGACAACACTTCAAAACCTTGAGCAGAGCAGAGTAGCCCAACTCTCTACCACTCTCCATCAGTACGTTGACGAAAGCTGACTCGATTTTTAAGCTTCATATTCACAACTCAGGCTGACACCAATTGTTGCAGGAGGGGCTAGTGTGTCGGAGAAATGTACATGATTCAGCGTATCTGGGAACAAACTGCCCCTCGTATCTGATCAGATCCACACTATGACTAAAACAAAAGTCATAACCCACCTTCACCAAAGGGCGCTTGTGTGTGCAGGCTTTTTGTAGGTTCTGAGCTATGAATGGAATATCCAACGCTGTTCAGTGAAACGGTTGTGTGAGCGAGTGAGTGTGTGTGTGTGTCTCTGTCTGTGCTTCCATGGCAGGATGCTCTGGAGTTTTCCTTGAATTTATGAAGAGTATGATGACATGGGTTTTGCTTATGGTGGGTGCAGAGCATGCTTTTCGCTATGTCAAAGTTTGTTGGTTGTTCTATTACTGGATTGCAGAAAAGGGCTATGAGAGGAAAATCAGTGAAAGACAATAACTCATAGTCTGGCTCATTGCCAGGTTTGTTATAAGGAAGTTGGTTGTACTAGTATATATATATGAGTGCAGTCTTTCAATTTGCTTATAGGACGGTATTGTTAGAATGCCATGATAGTTGAAGTGGGCTACATGATGTTGGGAGGGAGAATACTATGCAAGGGAGGGATTGTGTCAGATTTTGCTGGCACTACACTTATCATTCTTTTTTGGTAGTAGTGCACTCTTGTGGAACCCTGAGATGAGGTTGGTACTTGGTTTCCTGCTTCATTTTTTAAAAAATAAAAATAAAATTAAAATTAAAACTAAAAATTAAAACTAAAAATTAAAACTAAAAATTAAAAAAAAACAGAAGAGAAAAGTGTTTTGTCATCTTGAGGAGTATTACCATTCTTCTAGAAGTGAAGGAAAATTTGAAAAAGATTGTTGCCATCTGTTTTCTGAAACTTGATTGAGAAGATGTACCTGTTGACATTTTATTTTATTTATTTTTGTACTACTTTGATTTATAAAAGTAGTTTATTAAAATGTTTTTACAGTGATTCAGTGGACTTTAACCGTGTGAATTGCATTATATTACTATCTTTTTAATATTTGCATGTAAAAACTGTCCAAAGTAATTCTTAAAATGAGGTTTAGAATAACATTGCCAATCATTATTGTTTTATTTGTTATTTGTTATTTTACCATTTCTGTCAGTCTAACATTAAAAAAGTATGGTTGTTAAATAATGGATTTGAAATTTGGAATTTGGAATTTTGGATATGTTTTAGAAATTTTTGTGCATTCAAATATTTATCTATTCTGAATCAAAACTCTTTTCTTCAATAACTAAATGTGTCTGAAATGTTGAATTTTGAAATATAATTTAATGAAAAAGAAGAAGTTGTGCACTTCAATAAAAGTGCTAAGTTAAAACTGATTTTCTAATCTTTTTTTATTTTTTATTTTTTATTTTCTAAATATACAACTTTTAACATTTGAAATAACTTTTAAATAATTTATTCCTAAATATTTCTCTATCTTAGTTTGAATTTTCTCTACTTGTTCCATTAAGTTTTGTTAAATATGTATTATGCATTATTTCTTATTTCTTATTTCTTGTGCAAAAAGTTTTAGAAGGTAAAAAATTGCAAACTTCTAGCACTATTTTCTTATCCATATCTTTCTGCAAATCATACTGAATAAGTAGAAAAAGAAAAAATTAATACCAAATACTGCAAGTTTTACTCTAACACCCTAATAACCTAATACAGAATGTAATCTACCTGTCACACACATTTATCAACGAGCAGCCTATTCTAATTTATTAAATTTTAAACAAATTCATAAGAGATAATTTTTATATTAATAGAATTCATAGATTTCTTTAAAAAATCACTTTAACAATCATTTCTTAAAGCTTTTTCTTCAACTCAAGCTAAAATCTAACTTCCACTATTTTTAAATTTTTATTTATTTATCTACAAAAAAACATGTGTAATACTTAAAATCATAAAATAGTTTAATACCATAACATATCTTAATTCTTTATAGTTACATTAATACTTAAGTGCATACACTGAAGTGCATACCTCAAATCTTTAAAACTTTAAAACATTTTATATCAAATTAAGGTTATTTCAAAACAAAAAATCATCAAGTTCTTTTAAACTATGAGTTTTAGCCTACACTCTATTTATACTTATATATATATATATATATATATATATATATGTAAAGAAATTCTCACAGAGTATCCAAATCCAAATCCAAATAATTAAAAATTAAATTTACAATATACTAAAAAATGTAATTAATTTAAGTACAAAATTTACAAGTCTTCTAAAATTTTAATACACAAGACTGTGTAATCCTATTTACGTGTTATAGTACAGACAGCAAAAAAATTATAAAATTATAAACTTAGAACATATTCTTATATATATATATATATATATTCGAATATTTAATACCTAACAGCTGTTTTGTCAAAATTCACTTTGTTTAAATTAGTATTCATTCAAATATATAAATTCCAAAACATGTATAGTTCATAACATTTTTTTGTGTAAATTGTTCTGAGGTTGATGTAGATATCAGAACCTAAACATCATTACAGGTATAATCAAAGCATTTGTACCAAGATAATCTCCTGGTACATTTGCACTTTAATAAGATTTATTAAAATCACAGTAAGTTAATATAAGATAGAATTTAAGATTACCTAAGATTAATTTAAGAGGCATAAGAATATATATCAATGTTATGGATTATTTATACCACATCTACATATCTTTTGTGTTACAATGCATTCACAAGCATCAATGATACTCTTTACACTTCCTAGTGAGAATTTAAATTATATATATATATATATATATATTGGAGAATGTTAAATAGACCCAAGTTTTTACTAAATTAACCTACCCATGATGAAGAATATGGTAATCACAACAAATTTTTCCAATAGTGGAAAAATGATTTTAGAGGTCATTTTTTCTTTTCTTTTCATGAGGGATGGATCAATTTAATAAAGTGTGGGTATATTTAACATTTTCAAGTATATATACATACAAAAAAATAAATAATATATATATAAATAAACATACACACAAGCAAAAGGAAGTATTTACTTCTACCCACCCATTGTCTTATGAACATGGGAAGCAAGAGATGGAGATAGGACCCTCAACTCAAATGTCACACACGAATAAGAATGACGTTCATCCACAACACAATTAGTGTGACCTCACCAAGTGTTTTGTCAAACTGTTCAATCTCAGCAAGACCTTTTTTTTCTGATTCCTTGTGTGAATAACTTTTTAATCTACATGCTATATATTACAAACTTATAGTCTATACATGTAAGTAAGTAGCCTCAATTTTGGTTCATTTTATTTTTTGTATTGTCTTTGGAATATCTATAGTTTCACATTCTTTTAAAATCTAGATAATCTGTAAAAAAAACTAATAATATCAAACTCTATAAAGTTGTACCATGATTTGGTCTCAGCTTAGTCTGAACTCATCACACTTGAAAGCATTGATATTCCGTGAGAAGGATGAATGAATGTGAGAGAAGAAGGATGAATGAAAAAGGCCAGAGGGGGAAGAGTTAACTGCTGCGGTATTCCCAAGTAGATCGGGTCGTGGGAGGGGCTCTGCTTTAAGCGCAGTGAGAGTGAGTGAGAGCTGGTGCTGCTGCAGCGTAGCCATCTTCAAATACGCCTTCATCGAGTGAACTCCCTCTCTTTATTATTCCTCTTTACTTCAAGTTACTTAGCGAACGAGTCAGCTGTCTTTAATTGTCTTTCAGGAAGCATGCCCAGTGTGGCGTGAGCATTGAATGAACATTTCATGATGTGCAGCCATGGTGGTTGTTAATGTGTAACGTGACGCTCGCTGAGGTCTGCGGTTAGTTTCTCGCGTTGGTAGTAGCCGTTGAGAGAATTAGGAGATGTTTAGGACCTGCGGTTTGCGGGCCATTGGAGCTGTGACGGCATCGCGGGGACGTAAGAGTAAAAGGTTCTTTCCTTTACTGCGACTGTTTGAGTCGTGACGAAGGAAGCTGTTCTGTTGAGGTCTTTTAAACGAGCATCCAGATATCCGTACTTCGAGAGGATTGCAGTTAAGAGAGAGAGAGAGAGAGAGAGAGAGGAAGAGAGAGCGAGAGAGTTGAAAGTTGGGCGGTACAGATTGCTGCAAGGTGCACCACTGGAGCGTCGGATGGCATCTGAAATGCAAGTGTCACGAGACGGTATGGCATTACTCGATTGTGTTGTGTGTGAAAGCGGCTCGGTTAGCGTGGTCCGCTCTAGTAGTACAGATCGCAGCCACTGCTACTATCATGTTCCAATGTATGAAGAGAGAAGTGAGAGTTATCGACAGAATTTTTGAATTCGCCGAGGTACTTCGACCATTTCTCAGATGCCTGAAGTTGCTAGATTGAAGCTCGTGCGAAATTTGATTTGTTTTTGAGCCAACCTACTCTGCATATTACGATCGGGAAGCTGGCTGCATTGCCATTCACTGAGCAGTATTTCTCGACAGCCTGCTTGGCACAGAGGTTGTGGGATAGTATACCCGAGCGATATCACAGTCAGTTGTTTCTTGAAAAAGCCATGTCTCTTCAGTTTAGGCTGACTGTAACACGCCACTACCAGCGTCAGACAATTTAATGTCAAAGTCCTCTTTGGTGACGCTCTTGAGGGTTCTGTCTCTTTAGCACTTCTCCCTTGGCTAGCTTAGAATTTAAGCCTCGTAGTGACTGGGGATGTCACAACCATCGAGTTCTCATCAATATGTTCTGCTGCATTCTGAATGTGGTCTCTAAACTTCAAATAAGTTGAAGTTGTATAGGAGTCCTTCATCTTCAGCATCTTTAGTACACAAGTATTTAGCCTCGAGTTTACTTTCACTCATTCCACTTAACAATTTAGTTGTGCTTTGGGAGGGCTATTATCCAGCATTCAACTTCATATATCTTCAGCTGTTTCCTCACCTCGTCATTTATGTCACTCCAAACCAACAAAGCTTTGTTTGTCAACTTCATGGGCAACTTCAGCATTGTTGAAACGAGCTCTGTGAGACCTTATTCGTTTGAACAAACGCAGTATAGCATTTAGCAAGGTGGGTAACATACTCTGACTAGTTGCGCCGGAGAATCATGTCACTACATGCCGCTGTTTTGGCTCAGGTTCGTCGTTACAGCATCCTGTAGTTTGTATAATTTCAACAGATCTTTCTGTAGAGAAGGTATTTCAATGGTGATCTGTTCAAATGCCCGTAGAATATCGTATTCTCTCGTCTCTTGCTCCCAGCCTTGGGCGTCCTCCATATGAACAAGGGATGAAATGTCTCAGCACTGTACTTTTTAGTCTCCTAATGTTGATTTCTGTTATTCTCCCTTCAATGTTCTCATTTGTTGTTCCTTTCAATATATAAGGAATCGTCTTTGCTTTGTAACGCCCTCAGATAGGCCCGTCAAATAATACATCTGGTGGAACCATAAAGTGACTGTCTTAGTCTGGAATTGCAAGAAACGGCTATTTCTTGGAGTCTGTTGTGTTGGATGTTCTCTATCATTATTCTTTGGGATTGAATTAATATTCATGTCCATCTACTGAATTTAATCCTCTGTCCGCTATCTCAAAGCAGTAGCTCCATGTCTCTCTTCTTCTTCGTAGTTTTAGAGCCTTCTTTTCGAAATCATGCAATATGCCTTAATTTATAATGCAGTACAATGAAGTCTGTTTTGAGATGAAAATGTCCTCTTGCCTTATCGAAGTGGAGCTGCGTGCGTGTTTCTTGCAGATAAGATAGAGAATGAAAACTTAGTAAGGCAGGCTCGCTAAACATTGCAGCGGTAAAAGCATTAATACATTCAGCTATGGGCAATCAAATTGCACGAATTCGTTTTAAGAAGAAGTCAAATCAGCGATCTAGTAGGGGAATTCTAGATGACGAGTCTATCAAGAACCAGGCATTGGCAATGGCCAAGCATGAACTGTATATGGCTAGTTTGAGTTCACAGGTCAAAGCCTTGAAAGAGACTTCCATGGAGCCCCCTAGGCATAGCTTCTCTGGGAAGGCCGACTATGGGAGGATTGAGTACAAAAGAAGTTACAGTATTCAAGCTCGAAGAGACATTGATTCCCTGCTTGACCCCGTACCATCAATGCATCTTAGAAAGGTTTTTTTCGGCAATTCCTTCATTTCTTTTTGTAAGTTTCGAGCTAGCCAGGTAGACATATTGTAAAGTGGTTATCATTAAGTGTGTTCACAGTCGATGTTTGATATGTGATTCATAATGGCGTGTTCGAGAAGTGTCGAAAAGCCATCTCCGACGCGACTTGACCCTGTTTAGTTCCTGTACCTGTTTGCAGTATTTGTGTTAACTTTTAACCACCTCAAATCTGAATGAAGATGGCCGATGTGTTTGGATTTCAGGATAGGTGCATGGATGTAGATCTGGAAAGTAGGCACTTCGTGCTGGTCCATGGGGGAGGCCTAGGAGCTTGGTGTTGGTACAAATCAATAGCATTGCTTGAGAACTCCGGCTTCAAAGCGACTGCTGTTGATTTAATGGGATCTGGTATCGAACCGACAGATCCTAATCGTGTCACAAGTCTTGTGCACTATTCAAAACCTCTTCTGGATCTCTTGAAAAAAATTAAATCAACTGCAGGCCATGAAAAGGTTAAATCCTCATTGACTTCTCTACAATGTCATCATGCTGAAGTTAGTTGTTGTTCTTAGAGAATTAGAAATTAATGAACGACCTGTTTTAAAACTTTTTCACACTTCACCTGCAGTCTTAATAGTTAATATTTTTTAAACCACAAACATAACAAATTTAACAGTTATATCATGATATTATCTATAATTGATTTGAGTGAAAAGCTATCTTACAATTTAACAGTGTTAATAAGATAATGTAAGCCATTATGCCATCAAAGATGTGTATTGAAGTGTCTGGGCAATCCTCATTATGTACTCGAGCAAGATGTGGGTCAAAAGCTATCTATAATTTACCGAGTGTATTCAAACCCGATAGCCTATTTTTGTCAACAGGTAATCCTCGTTGGCCACAGCATAGGGGGTGCATGCCTCTCGTACGCAATGGAATGCTTTCCTGAGCTTATTTCAAAGGCTATCTTCATCGCAGCTACTATGGTTAGAAACAATCAGAGCGCCTTTGATATTCTTGCAAAGCATGTAAGTTTGTTCAAATCCTCTTCACACCTTGCCTGAATCAAAACTTGTAAGAATGTATCCATGCTGGCTTGTGACTTCGCAAATATTGACAATGATGCCATTCATATCCAGCAACTCAACTTCAGAAGGATCACAAGGTCGCACCTCAGTTTAAACGCTACTTGTATTTATCCTTCGTTACACAGAAGAAGCACTGATTAACATTTGTGCATATTCATTCGAGTAGATGCAAAGCCCAGATGCCCTCATGGCGAAGGCTCAAATCTTTATCTATGGAAACGGAAAACAGAAAACACCAACAGCTCTTTTGTTTGACAAAAACTTAACTGAAAGTCTTTTCTTCAATACCTGCCCCACCAAGGTAACTTTTCTATTTCAGTGTGTGAGATTCTTACTTCCTTTAACTATAGATTGTGAGTGCAGCTACGAATGTTGATCCTGAGTAATGGTTAGTCTATTGGTCTAGGTCATTCATCTTTCTCAAGTTTGCTCTTGGTTCAAGTGACAAGATTTTTCAGCGCTCTCTCTACTGCCAGTGTTCAACTAACATTCCATTAGTAACTTTTCACAGGATGTAGCCTTAGCGACTCATTCCATGAGACCAACGCCTTTTGCCCCTGCCATGGAGAAGCTCACTTTGACAGACTTGAATTACGGCAAAGTAAGGCGATTCTACATCTCAACCACTGCGGATCAGGCCTTACCGTTCCCAGCTCAACAAATGGTGATTGAAGACAATCCTCCTGAGCGTGTCTTTACCTTAAGAGGTGGTGATCATTGCCCTTTCTTCTCTAAACCACAGTCTCTTCATAGGATTCTTCTTGAAATTGCCTATCTCAATCAGAAACAATAAACCGTGCTGCAACCTGAGTTTATGTTTTATTTTTAATTTTATTTGAATTTCCTCGATTCCGAACTGAATCAACTTACTAAAATGTTATCTAAATGCGCAACATATGTAAATTCAACCTTGCTGTCGAAGTTTTTTACAGCAATGCAAATTTCGAATACAGATACCTGTTTGTTAGTGTGTAAAGACTGTCAGTATAAGTTTCAAAACTATTCACAGCTTGAACTATTTAGAAACAATCTCCTCCGAGCCCATCATGCCCGTTTGTAGAGCCAATGGGGGTCAAATTAGAGTGTTAATGCCGGAAAATGGCAAAAATTTGTCACTTAGTGTTGAGATTATTATCTGTGCTACAATTCGGCTCTAGCATTTGTGCCCAATAACCCCAAGCTAACCTTCTCTGTTCTGCTACTTAAGGAGAAGATAAACGTATTTTCCACTTCTCTCCGAAATCTCATTACTTTGGATCTGAATGGATAAAAACGCACACCAATCCGGTTGAAAGCGGAAGAAGCTATCTCAGTTTGTCTAAGCAAGCTACTTATTCTTCCACATCCAGCAAGGTCACCGACTCAAACACCCTGAGCACCGTCGATACTCTCACATCCAGGCACTGTATTCGAAATCTAAAATACGTCCGAGAAAGCAATGTCGTCTCAAGCACGCACCATCAAGACAGCGGAGAGTGTAGCAAACTTCTCCACTAACATCGATTATTCGCGCACTACAAACAAGACGACAGTTCGGTACATTCATGCTTCGTCAGTCACAAAGTAAAACCAAGCTTACATCACAAATTGAAGGAATTAATCACGCTGCTAACACAATCGCGAAGCTCCCTAAACTACATAATTCCTAGCCCTATCAAAATCGACGTGCTCATACGCAGACCCTCCAACCCTCTCGAAGTGCGAGTACTCCCCCAAACCTCATTGAACTGGTTACTTGGCCAAATACGCAGTGGTCGTTCTTCACACATACACATCTGGTAGTCAACAGTAGTGAAAGATAATAACAAACTGTGGGCAGTGATAACTAACACTGCCTAATGCAATCTCAAAACCGTCATGAGGTTAAAATCTTACAAAAATACTGCACAGAAATTTCCCAAATATTGGTGTGAAGAATATGTGAAATTGGTTAAGAAGTTATACTAAGTGAATGATCCAGTGTTTTATTGTTTGTTTGTTTGTTTGTTTGTTTGTTTGTTTTTTTTTTTTCCAATTCTTGAATACCTTTTTATTGGTAGCTACACAAGCACGTGTTTTTATACAAGAATATATGAATATCTAAACATATATAATTCTTAATGTTTATAAATACATATAAAGAAATGGCTACATTAAGCATCATATATAAATATTTATGCATGTTGACTTACTAAAACTTTCCTTAATAAAAATTAAAAAAAAAGACTATTATTGAAAATAAATCCTACACCATCTTCCGCAATGCACCATAAAAGTTACTTTTTTGAATACATGGAATTGAAAATTCAGATTGCACTTTGTAAAATTAACACAAAATTAGCACAAAAGTGAAAAAATTTAAACAATAAAATTAATCAATAATTATTATAAATTCAATTATTTTGCGTGTTTTAAAATTGCATTTTAGACCAAATAAAAAGAAAAAGCAACAACGTTGAGTTAAAAAATCAGGCTCAAAAACAGTAACACGGAAAGGCATGGAAAGGGTGCACAGCTTGTGCACCGAGAAATCCTCGGCTTGTGCGTGGGGGGGGGGGCATTTGCGGGTCAGAAATGGACACGACGACCCACTCTCGGACCCGTCACCGCGGGGGTTGTGCCAGCTAAGCCTCCCGAGGGTGCCACCTCAGCGCTTTAAATATTGATCAACCAACTGTCGCCAACTAGGACGGAGTCGCGTTATCCTCTTCCTTCGACTCCCTCCCTCCGGAGTCGTGTTCAAAAGTATGGCCGAGACTCGTCGGCATGTGATCTGCCGCAACGATTTCTCTTCTCTCCGGATTGTTTGCGTTTGGTGAAGCTCGATTTCGGTGAGAGGAGGAGGCGGAAGAGGAGTAGAAGAAGAAGAGAAGCAATCTCCTCCTTCAAAAATTTCTCCCCGATTTGAGGTGTGTTGCTTAGTGTTGTTATTCTTTGTTTGTTTTTGTGACTGTAGATTTTTTTGTTAGTTTAGCTGTTTGGAGTCAGTCGTCGGTCTCTGTTTTTTGCGCTCTTCGATCGTTGAATTGGATGCGGAGATGTGTGCTGTGCATTTGGACTTGCCACTTTCGACTTGCTTTATTGTGCCTTGGTTTGGAGCTTTTTATCCTTCGTGGCTTGTTTAGAGACATATCCGGGTCTAGAGGTGACTTGCATTGAGTGTGCTGTGTATTTGGAAGAGATGTAGCTGAGACTTAGCGTCGTATGGCGAGTTTTCTGTTTTTTCGTCACCTGGTTTTAATTAAGTGATTGATTTATGGTCAAGACTTTTCTAAAGTAATGAGACTATCGCATCAATTGATAGTAGAAATCCTTTATCGTGTAGTGGAATTATGATCTGCTGATGTTTGTTCCGAATAACCATAAGAAACAGATCATCTAGTCTTCACTTAGTACATGATTTCGATAATGCGCATTGATATTTTTCTGGCTGTTAAAGGATTTGGAATACTCTTGGCAGCTGTTATCGTAGTTGAAGTTGAATTATGCTGGTATTGCAGGTTTTCATTTTGCGGTAATTGAGCCCCAGAATCTTTGGTTAAGCCTTAGAGGAAGACTTGTAGAGCTCATAGAGAGATAATTATGGCGGCAGCTGCAGGGATGGCGAAGCTGCTGCCATCTCCTGCCCTCGGCCTTACGAAAGAATTGACTGGGTTAAGGCTCTCATCCTCGCGTGCAAGCCCTCGCAGCATTTCTGCAACCCATGTTGTGAGAGCAACTTTGAACACTCAGGAGAATGACAGTACCGGCGAGCTGATTGTTCAGAATAGGAGAGCTTTGATGAAGGGAGGACTTGCAGCTATGGGACTATTCCTCCCTTCGTTAAAGATGCAATCCGCCAAAGCTGCAGACGAATCTGAAGGTGTCGCATCCTCCCGCATGTCTTACTCACGATTTTTAGAGTATCTTGACCAAGGGCGTGTGAAGAAAGTAGATCTGTACGAGAATGGCACCATAGCCATTGTGGAGACTGTCTCTCCCGAGCTTGGCAACCGCGTGCAACGGGTTAGGGTTCAGCTCCCTGGCACAAGCCAAGAGCTCTTGTCAAGATTCCGAGCTAAAAACATTGATTTCGCAGCCCACAATCCTCAGGAGGATCCCGGAAACGTGTTCTTCAACATTTTGGGCAACTTGGCATTCCCCCTTATTCTGGTCGGCACCTTATTTTTCCTCAACAGGAACCAAGGGGGACTTGGTGGACCTGGTGGGCCAGGTAATCCCCTTGCTTTTGGGAAATCCAAGGCCAAGTTTCAAATGGAGCCCAATACAGGGATCACTTTCAAGGATGTAGCAGGTGTGGATGAAGCGAAGCAAGACTTTGTGGAAGTGGTGGATTTTCTTAAGAGACCGGAGCGGTTCACCTCTGTTGGTGCAAGAATCCCTAAGGGAGTGTTGCTTGTTGGCCCTCCTGGAACAGGAAAAACTCTCTTGGCCAAGGCCATTGCTGGAGAGGCGGGAGTTCCATTTTTCTCAATCTCAGGTGTATCCTCAATCCTGTCTACCAGAAGAGTTGAGATTTTAAATGCCAGAAACTGTACGTATGTTTGTACTTTCTGCTGATTGATTTGGGAATGACTGCTGTAGGTTCTGAATTCGTCGAGATGTTCGTGGGAGTTGGTGCATCGCGAGTACGTGACCTCTTCAAGAAAGCCAAAGAGAATGCTCCTTGTATTGTCTTTGTGGACGAGATCGATGCTGTCGGACGGCAAAGGGGTACTGGCATTGGTGGTGGCAACGATGAACGAGAACAAACCTTGAACCAGCTCCTGACAGAAATGGATGGATTTGAGGGCAACACAGGTGTTATAGTTATTGCTGCTACCAACAGAGCTGATATCCTTGATGCTGCTTTATTGCGACCCGGTCGCTTTGATCGTCAGGTTATACCTTAGTCTGTGACCCGAGCTCTCTCGCAGCTTTTCTTTTTGTGGTTCTCTCCTCACCTCAAATCTCTTTCGATGAGCTTGAGATTGGTGTTCTTGAACTTACGTTAGGCTTAAGATCCAGCAGCCCATCGGAATGACACTATTAGTTTTTTCTAACGTGAAATCCTTTCTTGGTCAGGTTACGGTGGATGTGCCTGACGTGAGAGGGAGGACCGAAATCTTGAAAGTACATGCGAGTAACAAGAAGTTCGATGATGATGTGTCGCTTGACATTATTGCCATGCGCACTCCAGGGTTTAGTGGAGCCGATCTCGCTAATCTCTTGAATGAGGCAGCAATATTGACTGGAAGAAGAGGAAAGACAGCTATTTCTGCCAAGGAGATCGATGATTCCATTGATAGAATCGTGGCTGGTATGGAGGGGACAGTCATGACCGATGGCAAAGCAAAGAGTCTTGTCGCATATCATGAAGTTGGCCATGCTATTTGCGGGTACTTTTTCTTTCACCATCCAATTGCAATTGTACCTGCAGTTTCATTGTCTCTGGAAAATTTCTAAGGTTACGGTGCATTGACCTCTAAGGCTTATTAATAAATTAATTGTGTGAGGTGCAGGACCTTGACACCAGGCCATGATGCAGTGCAAAAGGTTACCCTGATTCCTAGGGGTCAAGCTCGTGGTCTCACCTGGTTCATTCCAGGCGAGGACCCCACCCTCATCACCAAGCAGCAAATCTTTGCTCGCATAGTTGGGGCTCTTGGTGGACGCGCTGCAGAAGAAGTCATCTTCGGTGACGCTGAAGTAACAACTGGCGCTTCCAGTGATTTGCAACAAGTGTCTTCCATGGCGAAGCAGGTAAATTGATTGCGTTGAATGCAATTGATATTTTTCACCTTGTAACGACGGTTGTCTCTTGAATACCCTGCGGTTGAAAATTTCTTGTAGCGTGACGATCGATTCTCATAATAATTGACACTGAATCTGATGACCTCGTGATGCAGATGGTCACAGTCTACGGCATGTCCGACATCGGCCCGTGGGCACTTATGGACCCATCTGCCCAAGGTGGAGATATGATCATGCGCATGATGGCTCGCAACCAGATGTCTGAGAAGCTGGCCGAGGATATCGACCGAGCTGTGAAGAGAATTTCTGACGAAGCCTACAACGTTGCTCTCAAGCACATTAGGGAAAACCGAGTAGCAATGGACAAGATTGTGGAGATCCTTCTGGAGAAGGAGACAATCAGTGGCGATGAGTTCCGAGCTATCTTGTCTGAATATACTGAGATTCCGTCCAGCAACTCGTCTAAAGATAACCAGTCAGAGCCTGTGGCTGTTTGAAGTTAAATTAACTTCACGAAAGTGTTGAGACTTTAGATTCTAATGTGATGACCTGCGGTTTGATCATTCCTAGAATACTTTATAGTTGAGGGGTTAGCCTTCCTTTTGTGCCATCACATTTGACTTACTGCTGCAAGAGCGTTTGAGATGTACTGTTTAAGATGTAATGAAATATGAATTCTTTGCACACCATACGTGGCAGACATTGCAGCAAACTCTTACCAAAATTTTCTCTGATTCTGATCCTCTGAACTGTGAACCGTAATCGTGTTGACATGTGTATTTCCTGGTTCTGTCACCACTCCTATTTGTGCATATGGTGAGAGATCGATTGTTAATATAGAATATACCTCACGTCTTCAAAACCTTCCGGCTTTCTTTGGTCATATAACATCTTGAATGTACAAAATCAAATGTGTGTGTGTAAACCATGAAAAGTTTTAATGTTGTTCTGGACCTCCTCCTCTTTTCATTGTCCCAATATGGGTCTTGAACATATCTTCCTTGTCCGGGCGGAAGGACCCGACCCGCTCTGAGGGAGGAGGTCCGAGACCCCCTTCGAGACAATAAAAAACAGATTCGGATCAGCCAATCAAAGCCTTGGATGTATGTATAGACACAATTGGTGTGTAGAGTAATTTGAGGTGTGCTTGTAGCTTAAGCTGTTATATATATATATATATATTCAAAAACATCTTAATATGTCATTAACATATTTCATGAACATATGTTAGTAACATAGTGTTATTCTTTTACTTAAAAAGATGTGACTAATTCATAATATTTATTTTATTAAAAGCTTAAACTATTTTTTAGGATACAATTCTCAAGATACATATACATATTCATTTCAAGAGTACAAATGCAACACATATTCATTTTATGCACTAATAAATATGGTTCTAAAATATACAAGCAAGCCAAAAATTATATCTTCTTCATTACATTACAAAATTAAGTATTATATTTAACTTTGTAAGCTTGAAGCATACAAAGTTACAAAGTTTGGTGTCAAGCATCATCTTAAGATCTTTTATCTTAAAAAATTGTAAATTACAAGATTAAAGTGATACTTGAAACCAAATTGTATATAAAAATATACCATTTATTGAATTAGAGTGAGTTATTAGAACTTAAGGTAAAATTAAATGATTTAATGAAAAGAATTTGTATAAAACTTATGTAAGGTATGTCTCTATAAACAAATAGAAATTTGACAATATTTTAATTTTAAATCAATGTATTAATTTTAAACTAATGTACTTGGTACTTTTTTAACTTGTTAAAACACATCAATACAAGATTTTGAAGAAATAAGAGGTTTTATAAAAATAAAAATAAAATTGAATTCTAAGCAATGGACTTTCTAAGACATAATTTTGCAATGTCATGACATTATCTTCTTTTTATTAATAGTAAATACTCATTAATTGTAATAGATTTAAAAAAACAATAAATCTATTACAACTATAAAATAAAAAATTATTAATCTTAAGAAAAAAAATAATGAATTAAAATTTTAAAAACTAAAATTGTATACAAAAATTCAAAAAACACCAAAACACCTTTAAAAGTAAATTAACCAATTGTTCATAGTAAATATTTGAAACACATTTCTTATATATTTGATAAAATAAGTTGATAAATAACTCTACAAATTTGACAAGCCTTCATTTAGTCTCTCCAAGCAACTTCACAGTATGACCTGGTTGAGTGGACCTTGAACAACTCTTCTTAAAATTGGACAATATGTCAATGTAAAAGTCTATTGAAATATAATAAATATGACCTTTGGTTAATCTACTTGATTAAGGATTGAGTTTCTATTCTAGTCCATTCAATTTCTTGTCAAGCAAACAACTCCTTCGCACCAAAATTGCCATAAGGTGGTGCCACATAAGCACTTTTGACCAAAACGTCTGATGATTGTTTGCCTCCAAGATGAAGATCAAGCAGTAATATTTCTCTTTTGTTAGTATCCTGTGTCCAATCAACAATCAGCCATAGTAAAGTGGCTCTAATGTCAATAATAAGAATATATAACCTAATAAAGCATGTACTTGCCTCAAAGTCATATATTGAAGTATCAATGAACATATGGGGCATGGGTGACCAAAGATCGTTGCCACCTCACCCATGTTGATCGATTTGAAATATTACTCCTGTGAAGAGAAATCAACTTCCAGAATATTGACCACTTACATTTCATCGATCATAGGTACTTTTTGAAATCTACGACACAAAAGCACCTAATATATGTTGGATGGTCCCCATTAGCAATTAGGTCTCAACGATGAGAACACTCCTCTGACGATCTACAATGTAATGCTGTGTACAATCTTTATAGAATTTCTTCTTTTTTTTTTTCTTTTCTGGAACACGAATGGGGTGAACCTATTACTTACGTAAAAGGAAACAAGCGTGTTCACAGATTTCTAGAAAGAAACGTGTCAATTACAAATTCCTACAGTCTGGAAATGAACTGTTGTTGATCAAGCATACCAGTACTGCGATAAATCCATCTGCAGAAAAAATCTTTTTTTTATATAAAACAGTTGTAAACAAGTGACAATCTATTACCTAAGAATTTTGTACACACAAGACCAGTGCTTCTATTCACGAAATGTGGCATCATGTAACTGAACATCCGCAATCGCTACGCTCCGGCTTTTCCATCAACTCGGAAAACCTAGACACATGGAATCTCAAGTTAGTTCTACCCTGTAATCTAGGGTTTCGATCAGCTCAATATCTACCAGCTAAGAGAAAAAGTTGGACAATATCAACAATATAAATACATTCTTCAACTTATTCATAATACACACCTTCATGGGACAAATCCACATCCAGGATCAAGCTCCACTTGATTAAGGCACCCAATTGACGAAACGCAATTAAATTGCACTCGGCTACTTATGCAAGATGTTCTTTTTGTTCGTCTTCTGACGCTTGTTATGCTGAAGAGACAACAGTGCAAAGAGAAACAATGAGAAAAAAATACAACCAGGGACAAAGAACCAAAATGAGAATTAAAAAAAAAAAAAAAAAAAAAAAAAAAAAAAAAAAAAAAAATCAACAACAAAACTAAAACCATAAAACAGAAGGACAAGGAGACAACAGGAGGTGGAGAACGATGAGATGAAGGACTCGGTAAAAAGAAGAAGCCAAAGAAGAAGAATTTTACCCTCGAATGCTGCAGCGCTTCTGTATCAATCCGCTCCTTCCAAGTGCTCTTTCGCAGTTTGATGGGCCTATTCCCAACGTATTTGCCTGCAAGATAAATGATCCCTTTACAGAAAGGAGACGAAAACTAGTGCAATAGGGTGGTTCCAGACCCACATAAAAACTTGGGCATTACTATACCAGTATATAACAATGTATTTCAGTGTAGTTTATAAGTAGAGAAATTGATAATGCGAAAAAACAAACAAAGGACAGAAAATAATAAAGAAAAGTGGGGTGGGTGTAATCGTGCGTTACCGTTCATTTCTTTCAAAGCTAATGCAAGATCAGAAGGGTTTGCAAAACTGACGAAGCCGAAACCTTTGGTCTTCCCTGTGCGTTTATCCCGTACAACCTGCAATAGATTGGTCACCTTTGATTAACATAAAACAGTCAAGGACATTGACGGGTTTCCGAACGTACAAAATCTTGAATCAAAAATTTCCACATATTTCGACTTGTAATTCTAAAAAATATTAAGTCCAGGATTTCTCTACAAAAAAGTAAGTTGCATTAGAATACTTACTCGGGCCATATTGAAAGAAGAGAAGCGTGTGAAGGCTTTTGTTAAAACCTCGTCATTCACTTCGTTACCCAAGTCGCCACAGAAAAGACGGTGATCATCTGCACGATCCGCAATCGTTAATAACTCGAGAATCGCTATGTAACTGCCAGGTAATCTCTTAAGCTGCCATAAGCAAGAAACGACAAAGCCATCCCATCATCTCATAATCAAAACTCCTCTTATTGAGTTGCTTATGTCCGAACATCTTAATGTACTGCAAAAACTCCAGTACTATAACAAGCGCTGTAGATACGGAGACAGGAAATTGCATATGCAAAATGTTAATAACTCGCCAAATACTCCGGAGTAAGGCTTGGTTAGAGAGTTACTTTCTGGCCACTCAGCGAGAGTAGGATCCTCCCACGTCTGTCCTGCAGCTTTCCGAGGGACCGCTTTTTTCTTCGTCTCAGCTTTTTGATCACCCTCACCACTGGCCAAAGCAGCCTTCACACTTTCGAGAGCCTCTGGTGTGATAGTTTGTGCATCTCTTTGAAAAAGCTGTTGAGCCTGCAATCATAAAACCACAAATGTAGGATTAGAAATTAAAGCTTCGTAGGCTACACAGCTTAAAAGTAAATTCCCCCTCTGCTTCACATGCTGCCATTTCTTAAATGTGCAAAAACTTAATTCAGTCTTTAAATCTTCTCTTGATTTGAGCAAAATTGAAATCCTCTAAATACATTGCACACGAGTAGATGAGGCCCTTAAATGATGGGTATTTCGAATTAAAAGTAGCCCTGCGTAGTATTAGATTCTGGCAACTGCCTTGGCACTGCACAGTACAGGATTCTAAAATATCTATTCAAAACAACAACTTTCCAAGCCCCCAAGGCCAGCATAATGCAAATATGCAGTATGAACTAGAGCTGTTGATAACATACTTGTTGTTGTTGAGGAAGAGGATAAACGGTTGGCTCCACTGACAGTGTAGCAGCGGCAGTGGCAGGTGTGTACAACGTCGAGTACTGATAGGGGGTTGTTGAGACACTTGACTGAACTGCTTGAGCATGAGTTTGAGGCTGTGCTTGATACGTAGTTTGTGAAGCTGGATTATATTGCTGTGGTGGTGCTTGATATTGTTGCTGTAAATGAAAAGGAACCGGGAAATAAGAACTCGTCGCAGCAGGAGGAGGAGGAGGTGGGGCTGGGGCATACGAGGGTGCTGCCGAGGTAGCAGGATAGGAATATTGGGGTCCAGACGAAGGAGGCGGAGGTGGGAGAGGTAATGTGGGAGCCACTGCTGAAGAAGGTCCGCGGGGAGCAGGTTGTGGCGGAGCAACGAGAGTTCCCGCGGGTGTCAAACGGGGCGGGGGTGGCGGAGGCACCAAAAAAGCAGTCGTAGGTGTGTTAGCCGTTGGTCCAACAATCTACAAAGAAGACCAATGAAGTGAAAAATACGACAACCTAAAAACGACGATCATCTAAACCTTTACAACCATGATGCTAGTAATAACAAAATCCAAAACCTAAAGACATCGTAAATAACGTTGTATATATACACACACACACCAACAAAGCTCTTCAAATTCCGTAGGCAATCAAAGGATGAGAGATACTCACAGGTGGTGGGGGAGGAAGTGGAGGTAGATGACCTCTTATTCCAACGCGAGGAGGAGGAGGAGGAGGAGGTGGAAGCAATTGCGAAGTCTCTGATCCAAGGTCCTTCATCTCCTGCTCGAACCTCTCGAGCTCACTCATCAGATTCGCCATTTCTCCCTACCCACAACCACAACTTCTCCACCACAAATACTACGATATAAACAACCGGGGACCCTCTCACCAAATCTCACAACCCCAAAAACTGTGACTAAGTCATCACCCGCGCCACTAGCTTGTCCCTTCGCCTCAAGAAATTAGTTCCACAAGAGCGCACATGCAAGCCAAATTACACACCCCCCACAATTGAATTTCGTGACGACAGTACCGACCGCGAAAGTTAGTTCCCGCAAATACAGTCCCGCGAACTCACACACAGTGGAACCCTAATTTGATATGAGTCCATCGATGTCGACGAGAGAGCGAGAAAGAGAGAGAGTGACGACGAAGGTCTTTCCAGAGGGTTCCTTGTGTTCTCCTCCCGGGTTCCCTATGTGTTCCCATGTTCCCTTCTCAATCTATAGAGGTCCTTTTGCTTGCTTTCGCACTGACCAAGTAGATTAGCTCTTTTTTAATTCGTTCCTAAATCAACAAGCCTTGCCACGCTGTCATCTGGTTGGAGTGGTTCTCGCTTCTGATCGAATTTGTGATTCGAGTAACGTAGTTGTTTGCAAGAAGAGCCAAAGATTAGGTTTTTAAGTGAAATCCATTGCCATGTCGTAGCAATGCAATATGAGCAATCCCCATTAAAACTTGGATCTTCTTTTTGCTTACAAACAAGCATTTTTGGACACATCTTGTATTGTTGGAAAAGCATGCACAATATTGTTGATGACAATGTTTGTGTGGTTTCTAGCAATATTACAATGTATTAAAAGGTTCTAAATACTTGCTCTCACCTATCCAAAATAAAATAAAATGACAAATATATCCACATGATCGATCTTGTTTATTGTATTCTAAAAAATAAGGAAGACGTATCCACCCATCATAACCAACACAGTATTTTTTCCATTCTTTGTTTTAATCCTTTCGTTCTCCATCTCAATCTCTTCATCCTCTATCTTGACCCACCCAAACAAAGAGAAGGGTGCTGTTGAAAATTGCAATATATTCAAAGAACTGCAAAAATAATTAACGTCCCTGAGAGGCTTGGTTAAGGATTGGAGCAGTCTCCTCTTCCCCCTTCCTGTACACACATCCCTTAAAATCAAGGATAATCTCCTCGCATTCACAACACAAGAATAATCCCTCTGTTCCTCTTCCCAATACACAGGTGAGCTCCTGTGTGCCACCTCTTTGAATCAACGAAGCGACCTCAAGATTGTGAGTGCTCGTATTAAGGATTGCTCCAATCCTCGACTAAGTCTCTCAAGGAATGTTAATTATTTTTGTGATTTTCTGAGTATATTGCAATTCTTAATAGCCCCTATCTGCCGCCATTCAGGGGGGTCGGGCTGGAAACAAGAATGGGGGACAAGATGATCAAGACAAAAAATAGAGAGATCAAGACAGAAAACGAAGGATATAGTGCTGTTATCATAGGTGGGTTGAATTAACAGCTGATAAGGTTGATTTAACATTTTCCTAAAAACAAATAATATGTTTTAAGTACAAATTGGGAATATTTAGTAAAAATACAATGTAACATTTAAGTTATGTTCTTCATTAAATGTATGCTTTAGCTTAAGTTTTAATTTGAATATATTGAAACATCCTTTTTGTTTGTTATCTAAAAATAATTGTAAGGAGTAAGGTTTTATTTAGAGTGTTGCTAATACCACCATAATTTACGTTATTGCATCTACATCCTCCCATCCATTACATGCCACCTTTGTTTAATACCTTTTAAATTATTATTTTTTATTTAATATCTTCTAAATAGTTTGATTGGAAAAAAAATTTATTAGAATAAAAAAATATTTAAAAAAAATATCAAATGGATGGTGGATTTTTGTGGTAGCAACAAAAATTGTATTGGCATTAATAATATCCTTTATTTATATAACATATACAAATAATTGAAAGTACAAATAACTAGTTGTTATAATTTTTAAGCATCAATATCAACATTAAGAAGCCAAAGGTATTTCTATTTTTATTTGATATATATACTTATCTAATTTAGAATTATTTAAAAATAAAATAAAATAAAATAAAAATAAGTTTTTTATCCAAATCTATGTATACAACAAGTTGTTGTATAGTTAATGTTTAGCAATTTATTACATTTCAACCATTTTACTTAATTAATCACATCATTCTTCATCCTCACTTAATTGCATAAGAAGTTACTAAAGAATACATATGCATTGCCTTATTGCAACATTTTTAAAACAAAGTATTATTTTACTTTAAAATAATAAAAACATAACTAAAAATAATATTTTTTTTCATATGATGTATATTATGCAAAAAAATCTTATGCATGTGCTCTTACAAATATATTGCCACAATAAAAGAAAAAATAGCTTTATTTTGTAAAAATATTTATATAATATAATCAATGTAGCTTGGTGATTTTTTTAAGAAAATGTATAATGATTTTAATATGGACCATGCACAAAAGGATATTTTTTTCTATTAAAATATAATTAAAAATCATGTCTTTGTAAAATATAGTAGATATGTTTTGCATGGAATACTTGGTGTTTTTTTTAGTATTGTAATCAATACATTCATATTTTCATTTGCATAATTTTTTTCTATAAGAATATTTCTTTTAGGATTTATTTTTAAAAAAAATAAGGTTTTATTTTTATTTTCATAATTTATACATATATTTTCAATGCATTTTTACTAAGATATTTTTTTGTTATACAAATACAATTCTATTTTCAGTTGATTTCTTATTTAAAGGTCAAGATGTAATCATTAAAAATCTAATAATATTTGAAGTATAATATTAGTTTGGGTATGACTAACATGATGAAATTTGAATTGCAAAAAATGAAAGACATATTCTTTTTTACCATATTTTAATTTTAAAAATCTTTGCATTTCAATTTTAAGATTTCAATTTTATAAGTTGGCACTTAAAACCAAATACATCACAGCTACAACTATTTAGAGCATCTGAATTAAAGTAGATACACACAAATTTAAAAAGTGTGAAAAATTTCCTATCCTAAAAAAAATGAAAATCTATTACAATCTTAAATAAGTAAAAATGACAATATTAATTTTGAAAAATTAAATTAAAATAAAAAATTTATTTCAAAAAATTAGTTTATAAAATAATACTTCCAAACCAACACACAAGCTAATGTAAAATGCTAAACCATGTGAAGTAAATACAACAATTTGAAATGTATAAAGCCAATAAGAATCATAAACCACAAATAAAATATCCAAGTTATCATATAGACCTCTTGTTTTTTTATGTGTATTGCATATATATTCTAATTTGCTACACTCTATTTCTTACAAGTTAAGGCATTGAGAGATAATATGTGGCTACCACAATGTCAATACTTTTTGAACATGTTGGAGAAGTTTGGGTTACAAGTCTAGAATATCACTGCCCTGACCTGACCAAGTGGGTGTTGAATTACATTGCAAAAAGTCTCTGTGACAGATGTGGGAAAAAGTCAAAAATCTATGCATATTGGAAAAAATCATGCATGAAATTGTTCCATTAATCCAAATATCAATAGCTGTTTTTCAGTAGAATTCAATGAAAATTGAGTTCAGGACAAAATACAATCTCTGTAACCATCAAATGCACTTGTTCTGGTATATCGCCGCTTGTTTATAAGGAAAGTTCAGAAAACAGTTACTCTCGTGCAACACATTGTTACCTGACAATGCTCACACTCCCAGGATCACCGGTAACACAAAAATGGACGCACTAATAAGGTAATGCACAATACAAATAAGACTTGCTGACGAAAGGTCAGAAACATTACGACCAAGGCACTTATCTAGACGATGTTACAATTGCGTTCCAGTTAAACTATGTTTGCACGAGCAAATTTAATAGCTTGGTGGAATTGCTACAAACGGGGCAAGTACAATGAGAACATGATTTTCGATATCAGAATTGAAGTAGTCAAAAAGCAGGAATAACATTTTGATAAACGCAGCGCCAGCAAGGTGATAGAAATCCTTCAGTCATTTACTGATCTGGAATTTGAGGAATGTCCACTGCCTCCGTTAATATCCCATTCGCATGAAAAGGATAACTCTGCTTTTGTCCTCGTAGTGGTGATGGTGTACACCGAACCAATTGAGCAGTTTAACGAAGCAAACAGAGAGGAGCTCAAACAAGGGAAAGGAGCCATGAGACAAAGTGAGACAGAGAGAGAGAGAATAGAATTCGATCAAAAGAAAGAAGTTATGAGATGAGGGATCAGAGAAGGATTCATAGCAGAGAGAGATCAGAGAGTGAACATTCCTAGGACTGACAAACTAAACAATTAATGCCTCCACAACATATGTATTTAGTAAAGTAGACTTCACTAAATACTTATGGCACTTTTCACAAGATCATATCACACATTTCTCAAATACTTATGGTGCTTTTTCCAAGTTCATATGGTATATTTTTCAAAGACTCAAGCAATATGCACACCCCAAGTTGGTATACTCACATCCAAGAAAATAGAGGGATTTGTTTGGCTGGTTTGCTAATTTAATCAGCAATTTACAAAGAAGAGGGAGATAAGGTCCAAGACTTATGCAAAGGAAGAGGGAAATGAAGTTTGGGACTTGGTTTGAGATTGAGATCCACTCAGGGCAAGAAAGAAGGAAATGAGGTTTGGAACTTGGTTTGGAATAAGAAAGAGAGAAATAAAGATTGGAACTTGGATTGAGACAAGAAAGTAAGAAATGAAGTTTGGGACTTGAGCTGGGAAAAGTGATGCAAAGAGAGAAATAAAATTTGGTACTTGCACCAAGATTGTGACCCACTATTGTATTGTAACACAATTATTGGATGAGAGAGAAGAACATGTTTCACATTATAGAAGATCTTAAATATAAAAAAATATGGTAGCAAAATACAAGTAAAAGGTATGAAAGTAGTAAAAACATTTAGTTTTAAGATTACATTTTTATAGAAAAGACTTCTACTTTCTTTATAGGGCTATAAACAAGATTAAAAAAAAAAGTAGATTAGCAAAAGTATAATAAGAATCTTTAGGTAGAAGTATATAGTAGCTCCTAAAATACATTATCTAGAAATACTAGATATTGATATCTTGAGAGGACCAATTGTGAACATGGATCAAAATCAGATCTTGAGAAACATAACTGCACACTTATAACAATTGCAAAGTTTTTTTTTTTTTTTTTTTTTTTGTTGACTAGAGAGTAAGATTATAAAAAAATAAATAAATAGTTGAGGGTTTTTTAAACATTGACTTGAGGTGATTTGAATTTATATTGACTTTGCAAGAATTTTACAAAGTCAAAGTTGTTCTAGTTGATCTTGAGTTTTGAAAAATAAAAAAAGGGTTTATATTTTGAGAATTTTGTGAGCATTGTAGCATATTGACGAGTGAAAATTTGTGGGGTTGTAAATCTACTTGTTGTTAATGTAATTTGTATATTTTAGTTAAATCAAACAATTAGATTAAAGGTTATTGAAATTCAATTGAGTTAGAATTTCAAATTTTGGATTTTTAGGAATAATGAAGGTTTCTTTGATCTTGAGAAATTTGCCAATTGAATTAAAATCAGTTTTTGTGAGTAAATAGTTAACTTAAATTGAAATATTTTATTATTATTTTGAGAGAAAAATAATAGTTTAATAAGGAGCTATTGCTACTAGTTGATTGACCTTAAAGTTAAAGAAAGAGGACAACCAATATCCAAGCAAATTAGGCAATTTTATCCCAATCAGTAAGTTCAATTTTCTTTTAATTTTGTATGCTTGCTATTAACTTGTAGATTGAAATATGTGAAAATTTTGAAGCAAGATCAATGGTTTAATCAATAGTTATTGAGGTTTTAATTCTACTATAGCAATTGATTAGGGTTGGTTAGAATTTTATTAGAATTTAATTAGGATTTGTTAGGATTTGTTAGGATTTGTTAGGATTTCTTTGAGATTTATTTAAAATTAAAATTAGAAAATACATATAAAAATACATGATTTATTCTTTCTATTTTGTCTACCTAAGTTGTTTAAAATAGGCCATTTTTTTTTATAAAATATCCATTAAAAACCACTATTTAACAATTGGTCCATGTGAATTCTCCTAGAAAGATTCTTCACATTGTTCTTTTACTTTGATGCTCAGAATTGTAAATTGAAGCAATATATTCCAATATTAATTTACTATTGCAGTTTTACTTTTACTTGTTTGTGGTCGTATCATGCATCAACAAATTTCCAACTGATGGAATAGCATGTAGTCTTGTAAGTGTCCATTATAAATTCTTGATAAAAACATACTTTTAAAGACTTTGAAGTCCTAAAATAGAACATGTGTTTATTTCTCTTCCATTCAATAAAATAATTTCTCAAAAATATATTATTCAAGTTGTACTTGAAAATGGCCAAACACTGAATAAGATTGTTACTAAAAGTCCCAATTCATCAATGAAGAAAGCACTTGCAAAGACGGAATTCTGTGAGTGCTTCAATATTCATGTGAGCAGCATAATAATAGCTCATACTAGACCAGTTTAAGACTTGACCAATTGATGATCCCACAAGGGAGCCCATGCATGGCACCTTACACAGCATTAGCCTCACCTAAAATATTTTATAGAAGCCGAGACCAGTTGGTGCGGTTTTAACCAAGAACAATGCTTTTGATATTATATTACATATGATGAGATAAATCAAAAGTTCCAAGAATTGACATTCAAGAAGAGGGAACTATACAAGATTCGAAGTGTGGCCGGCTCAAATTGCAAGAGCAACTTGCCAATCTGCAGTTTACAAATTCTGGTCGCCAATCACCAGTAGTTTTACTAACACCTACTCACTGCTTCTTCTCTAATAAGCTATAATCAGTACAATGTTCCCAGGCACAAAACGTAACATGCCCATCTCTCTGCCACTAGAAACAACCCTTCCTTCACCACATTGACAGTGCAAATAGACACATATACATGTGGAGCATCGGGATTAGGCCAGATATCATTGAAGATTCGGCACCACTAAAAAAATCACATGGCCTCGAGACAACCCTCCTTTCTCCCTAATCATCCACCGTGTTGACTAGGTTTTATACAACAAACAATCCAATCGATACACTGTCAGTATCAGTGACACCAAGAAGCCTAATCCAAGGAGTTAAACTGTGTCCACATTCTGATAGAATCCTGACGAGTCTTCAACAAAGCACAACTGCCTCCAACCTCCAGATCCAAAAAGAGCGGTTGCTAGTCCTGGAATAACCAGGACGATGCACATCTCGAGGATCTGGAGTGGTGACAGGGAGCTAACAAGCTGAGTCAGGGACGAGATACTGAGCAAGAACAATATTAAAATCGAGGATAGTTACAAAGCACGCATTGGAGGAAGTGGCTGTGATATTGCAATACGTGCAATGCTCTTAAGTCCAATGAGTCCCCTCCTCTCCACTCCGACTAGATCCACCGCTTCTAGAGCTTCCTAATTTCGCCCTTCCACCTCGCACTTTGGAGCTCCCCGAGGCCTTGGAGCTGCTGCTGGACTTGGCTGCTACTTTAGGGATATCTACGTCTGAGAGGTTGCTCTCTAAAGCGTGAACTAGGTTCTCGAAGTAAGTCTTTGTCACGCTGAAAGAAACAAAATATACGCGATTTGTCAGCTCCTGCAGGAGATCCTGGACCCCAACTCTAAATGCCACAACCTAAAGCTTAATAGATAAAGATAGACAAGACTACTGTTCTTGTCATTATGCAGAAAGTTATTATTAGTGCAAGGATAAGAACCTGGTCAAGCCAGCAAGTTTCGTGCGGAAGTCATTGAATGAACTGGAGGGAGAGTCTCCTTCAAGAAAAGTCTGCAAATCCTTCTCTGCACACTGATGAAGACGCTCCAAGCCAGCTTCTGCCTCGCCTTGTGAATATTCAAAAAACTGTCTCTTTGTGTGCTCATTCTCAGGTAAATAATACCCATAAGCGTAGGTCCACTTCAATACACGCCGGCACTCCACAATCTGCTAAAGATAATAGCATTTAGAAGAAATACAGCTTCAAATTGTCAAGTGGATACTGCATACTCCAGAAGCACTGGAGCAAAAGAGTGGACGAGTCAGTAACAAAGGGATTGCGCGTAAAAATCATGTTCAAGCACGAAATATAATACCTGCAGCCAGGCGTCTGTTACAAACTTAAGCTGCGATACGGGTTGGCATTGTTTGTCACTCAGCTTTTCAATCTGCCCAGGATGCATTTGATGAAGATCTGCAAGCGCCTTCGCCCTTGACTGCACACATAAAAGAAATTAGAACAGAAATGATAAATATAAGCTCACACTACATCATTGCCTAAAATTTACATAGTCAATGTATCTGCAGTGTGAGAAAAGACAGCGCAATTAAGGTAGAAGAAAACTCGTGCAAACTCAAACCGGCACTCACAGATTCATTCGTTGCCCAGCGTTCATAATAATGTGTGTAACGTTCAAGGGAGTTCTTAGCCATCTCCCTCCTCCGCTCTGCTTCATCATACTGCAAATTATCTGTAGCAGTTAGCTCATCTGCAGAGACTCAGACAGGACTCCATCACCTAGCAAAAACCTAGGATCTTCTGTTGAGTGTGACCAGCTCGTGGGACGCAAGGAGAAAGAAAAGAATTGATCTTAGAGTGATTATTTCTCTCTCAAATTAATTCAAATGGACCAAATAATAAGTTGTCCCTGTAAAGTATAGCGACGGCCAAGTCTACGTACCACGCCTTCTTGCTTCGCAGTTTCATACCGGTTGCACGCATAGAACCCCCCCGTCCTTTCACCGTGATCAGTCCATGCTCCGAGACAGAGCCTTTAGAAACAAAAGTGGGTTGCTCATAAGTAAGTGTCTTATCAATGACCAGCTTTCAACCCATTCAGGCTAAAGCAACAAAAACTTAAGAACCATTATCGATGAGTTGGAGAGTGAATTTAAACCCATTCATTCCTCGAGACCCAATAAAATCTATTAGACTTACCAGCAAAACTCAAATTTGCAAGGAGGTGTGCAAGTAATGTGCATACACCCTTGGTTTTTCTCAATTGGCCTTTTACATTTGGGGCAGGGTTTGCTGTTTGCAAGAATCCTGTTTTAAAACAGCGATAATGAATAAGAATAGGTCATTCTCTAAGACAAATATCTTCAAGTTCACTTCTTACATATAGAGATTAGAGGGTTAGAATAGCAGATACTCTCTCACAAAGCCGATTCGAAACTCCAATACATCTGAAACCCAATCTACATACAATCCAAATAATATTCTGATCTTGGGACAGGAAGCGAAGATAAACATTAGATAAGCTGTGCACAGTTCTTACCAATTCATGTTCTCTGACTCTGCACAATTCTTCAATATCCACTTGTTGACTGTGTCACAATCCACAGGCCGATGTGCCTCTTCTCGACACTGGAAAGCAAAGATGCAGAGTAAGATCTCTGTGACACAATAAAATCCACGAACAACGTGCTCCACTTGTTGCGAAATAAAAGCCATACACGTCAACATGAAATACTCACATTCCAGCAAAAGCTGAAATCGCACTTGCAGACAAGGTCATATGAACCAACGCCAGGTTGAAATTCCACCGCATATTCACAGCCAGGTGCTGGGCACCACTTAACCTGCTAAATTACAACGCCCAACTTTCATGTCAATCGTTGTCCTTCCTAAGGACCTCGTCAAGAATGAGCAAAAATAAACGATGAATGCAGACGCAAATCAAGGATTTTTTTTTTTTTTTTTTTTTTACATGCTTCAAAGCAAAGCACAGATCAGATAATTCAACTCCAAATTTGAGACAGATTTGAATATTGACCTTTCGGTTGTCTTCAACATAAGATCTCAAAAGATAACGTGTGTACTTCTGTTGGTCTTCTACCGAAACCAAACCCAGTACCATGTCTTCTCCAATGGCTGACCCACAGGATGGATCCGCACATCGCAAAGTCAAACATCCAGGCCCATCATTAATAGCAGTGTGTATGTAACCTGAAACCAATCAAGATAAAAGGAAAAGATTGAAGTATCAGGTCAAGATATTTCTAATCACATCAGAGTCAGCCTATACCAACCAATCAAACATTGCACACTGCAAGATATACAACAATGATGCTAACAAACACAAATGTCCACAACTATTGAACAAAATCAATAACTCTAAGTCAGTAAGCTGCCAAAAGTATCCAATATAAATTTGTCGATGCAAAAATTAGAATACCCAAAGTCACATGTAAGATAGGTTCTCATACTCTAGCTCAAGGCTTGAATCACACAAAGACATGCCACAATACGCAGAACACAAGATGGGCCGTTATATTATTTCACGCAAACATTTTAAGGATAGAATACTCTACGTAATGCGGTGCCAATACCTGACCTGTCCAACAGGTCTCACAAAAATAGTGCCCGCATCTGGATGCCCTCATGTTCTCAAGCGGACATATCTCAAAACATATCTTGCAAACCATCTGCCAAACGACATCAGTCAGAAATTTCCAAGCGCAACGAGGAAATTAAAGCTGACAATGAACAAAAATATCAAAACCTGCTAAAGGAATAGTCTCCACACAAAAGTACCTCTTTTAGGGTAAGTCTTTTGTTAAACACAGGCTTTTCCAATAAACCGACGCTTGCGCGCACACGTTCCTCGTCCGCGAACCACTCGTCATTGACTTTGCTCACACTCCTGATCATTTTCAAGATTAATATCTCAAAGTAAGTGCATTGTTTCAAACAGATTATTGGCAGCTACAATCTGCTCTTTCTGATACGCTGCATTTAATATGCATTATTGAGACCTGAACAGTAAAAAAATTTAATAATAGCCAAAATTATGTGCAGAAGAATAAGAAAAAGTAATTGGAAGCGATTTCTGAATTTAAGGATAACCAGATTAGGTCACCCAAGTGCTACATCAGTAAGGTCTCCACATACAACGAAACCAGACGAGTCAAAGAGCGACTATTACCACTTAAAGTGTCGAAGTAAAACCCCAGCATCCACAGGAGATATAGACAGGAAATTAGTGATTGTTGCAACATCTTCAGCTTGTCGCTGCCGAATATCTTTCTCACTAAGGACTGTGAAATTAGTCTGCAGTATCAAATCAAAGCAAGTGAATTTAACCCCCTAGAAATCTTCAAGCCAACTCTAAGATGCATCTGAATTCCTCCCACATGATTTCTTTCTGAGAGAGACGTAAGACGAGAAAAAACTACATATTTCCAAAAACTCTTAAAAAATGTAGACGACACATACCACCTTCCTTTGCAGAAAGGACTGATTCCATAGAACATTACAAAACCTATTGGTTCAAGAACCAGAAGAAGAATAATCTAGAAATACCTGAGGTAGACGAGAACTGGGATGTAAATCGTCCGCATTCGAATAATCAAAACCATAATCTGATTCATAATTTTCGCCATCACTAGGAAGAGCGTCTGAATCCTCATCTTCTTCTTCTTCATTTACAAACTCGCCATCTGATGTACCAGCCCAAGCATCTAGCATTTCATCTTCAGAATCCATGTCTGAAACCCACGAAATGACGGTCTCAAGTAGTGGTTCAGGGGCAAGATGGACCAAGCTTGTCACCTGGAGCACACAAGCAAGTTGAAGGCGACAAGAAACAAAAACTTCCAACAGCAGCAAAACAGAGCACATGATCTCCAGCCTGGAGAACAGCCATTACTTGAACCAAGAGAAGGCATAGGCTGAAGTAGAACACAACATCAAAAACTAAAAATCCTCCCAAAGATCGATTCATCACAGCAAAAGAAATTCACATCATCTGAACTTCTACAAATGTCGGTGCAAATGAGTAAGGAAGAGAGGGAGCGCAGATGCCGCAGCACGGAATATAAAAAGCATCAGTGAGTGGATTGGACAGCTTTCCCGCAAGAAACACAACTGACATACTCCAAAAAGTATCCATCACAAGCTACGTGCTGAAAAAGACGCAATTATCACTATCACCCAAAATATTCCTGTTAGATCACTCGTCTACAAACCTGCAGCAATCTCTTCAGAAAGCTATCAATTGCTTGCAAGATTCTCTACAGGTGTGAAAAATACAAGCGACAGAGAAGCAAGAGGCCCTGAAAAGCTAAAACGTAACCAGATGCCTATGCCCTAAACCTGCAGCATTACATTGCGAGATTGCGCGAAGAAAGACAGCCCTTCTCACTGGATTGAGGTAGAATTCCCCACAAACCCTTGCTTCTAGACAACCGGTCCGAATTTCTCGAACCCCACCAACTCTACAAGCACGATTCTACAGCCCACCCACACCCCCCCCCCTTTACCATATCCTCGCATCCAACAACACAACAAACCGATTACACCACCAAAAAATCCAACAATTTCCTCTACCACTATCATCCGTACCTCGTCTTCCTCCTCCTTCAGGCAACCACCATCACCAGAATGCAACCCGAGGTACCACCATCGCCTGCCACTCAAGCCAACCCACAATCTACTCACGACCCCCAAAACCACCCAACTCCCTCTTACCACATCCGTGGACTACACTCACAAACTCGAGAGAACATGCGCACGATCAAACCTAGGTAGCTTATTCTTACTGGGAGAGAGATGCAAGCAAAGATGCGAGATGGGGGAGAAGAGGCAGAATTGGCAGTGATGAAGGTAGTATGTGAGTTTCGGCAGAGCGATCTACAGAAACAAGCGAAATGGGTAGAGACCCCAAGTGAGCAAGCGATGAAACAGAGGATGTGTCATGAAAAGAGCGCAGCAGGCATGGCGCAGAATGGAGGTGGGATTGCGCGAGGATCGAGGCGAGTGGGGAAAGGAAGGGAGCTTGCAAACAGAGCTACAACACAACAACAACACAACAACAACAACACAGCAACAACAAGACCAATACACAATACAATACAATACCAGGTCTGGCCCTCTCTTTCTCTTTCTGTCGGTCTATCTGTCTGTATCGTCCTGGCTGGTGACCTACTTACTAGGTCTCTCTCTTTCTCTGCCCTACTTTCCTTCCTTCCTTCTTTTCCACTTGTTGTGTCAGAGTTTTTTTTCCCCTTCTCCTGCTGCCCATTCTGCCCATTCCCCTTCATTCCTTGTGTGTGTGTGTGTGTGTGTGTATGAGTGTGTGTTTTTCTGAGAGGTTTTTGTTGATGGATTCGGAACGAATCTTGCATCGTCATCCATTTCGAGTTGCTGAGGTTGGACCCTTTTGAAGCTCCATTTGCGAATTGTCGTACACTGAATAATTGCCAAGATTTTTTTATGAATAGTAAATCAAAATACTAAAAGATTATCGGCTTATTTTCTTGCTTTTGTTTATTTTTGTTTAGTTTATTTTGCTTGTTTGTTTTTTATTTTTTTTTTCTTATTTTTTTTTCGTGTTTCATGTATGAATATTTTCTTATTCCTACAGTCAGAGCCCATGTTCAACTTTGGAAAAAACATGTTAGAAGCAAGTTATTGATATACAGTAACATACAATATAACAGTTGATCACAATGTAAACAATGTATCCTGGAATTCCTCAACTTATCTATTTGCACAAAAAATTTGCCAAATTCTTATTGACAAGGGAGCAATAGAGCTCTTCTTTTCTAGAAGTTTATTATTAATAATTTGTAAGTTTTCATTGGTAAAGGTCAAAAAAACTATAGTAGCATTTGCAACACCCAATATCTATATATGATATTAAAATGAATGAATTAATTTTTTGTTATTTTTTTTGAAATTACATATATATATATATATATCTATATATATGTATATATATAAACTATGTACTTTACAATGACCACACAAACTTTACATGCATGTGTTTATATATTTTTATGTAAATGACCACATAAACTTTAAACATATATTAACAAATATATAAATAAATTAAAAATTTAAACTTAATTTCATTTATACATTTTTAAATCTTGAATTTAATTTAAATAGTTTATATTTAGTATATACATATATTTAATTATATACAAGTTAAAATTTTAAATGATGTAATAAATACATAATATTATGTAGATTTAATGATTAAATTAAAGCAATGTGAAATAAAATTTTCATTCAACATATTGTGTACTGTAAACAATTTAGGTATTTTATTAAATTGATTTTATAATTTTATTTTTATTTTTATGAAATTTGTAATACTATAATAATAATTCTTCATATAGATTCTACAGATGCAATAATTATTAATAAGTGGTACTTATAATATTATTATTTTTAATTTTTAATTTTTAAATTTAATTATATATATTATCATCAAAACAAAATTAATAAATTTGGTTTGTTTAGAAATTATAATCTTTATTAGAAATTTTAAAAAGATTATAATTAATAAATTCTTAAGGTATTTGTTTGAAAATTGTGATTAAAATCATAGAGATTTGCAAAAATGTATTAAATCAAGTATAGATATATATATATATATATATATATATATTAGTGGAAACTAGTGTCGTTTGGCATTGTAATTTCTTGAATATCCATCCATTTTCTTATTCATTCATGCTTTTTTATTCAACTGTTTTCTCTTTTCTATATTCTCAGGTTCCTTGGTTCTCATATTTTTTGGTTTTTAAGTGTTATGGTTCCTATGCTCCAAGTTTCCTACATTCTCTTCTTTCCATGTACATTCTTATATTCTCCAATTTCCTCGCATTCCTTTCTTATGGTAGAGTTTTTTTGTCTCTTTGCGTTATATCCAAGTTTTTTTATGATATATATATATATATATATATATATATGTGTTTATCACATTTCATGCAAAACATCAATAAGGTTTAATTTGTTTTGCAAATTCTTCACAAAAGCAATCTCTAAATCAATAAAAAATATTTTATAAAATTCTATGATATATTTTGTCCTATTTTTTAATTATAAAATATTAAAAATAATTAGTCATATTTTTAGTTAGATTTTTGATAATTGGGTTTTAAATAGTTTATTTTTTTATTTATTTTATTTTTTTAATTAAAATATTTGCAATCTTTCTATAAATCAAAGTTTCTTGTTTCAAAATTATTTATAATTTTTTAATATTAGTCATTTTTAATTTATTTTTTGAATTTCTACACATTTATGTAAAAATAATCTTTATTCATCAAAAATGTTTATATGATAGTTTTATCAAATAAAAAATACTTAAGATTATTTTTTAATACTTAATTCCATGTAACACGTTTTAGTAAATTCTTATTTTATTTTTATTTTTTTATGCATGATCTTTAAACATCAAATAAAAAAGAAACTGCTAGTTGGACATCCCTCTTTTGTTGTGTGGACACCCATCTGTGCCACACACCCCCACATACACACATAATGGTCATGGAAGTGCCTTCAATGAAAGATAGATTTACTTTCTTAGAAAACACAAGAATATATGTTAGTACTTAGGATAGATCAATGATATTCCTTTTTCAAATTATTTAGGATGGTTTTAAAGCCCTTACGATTTACACTGAAGAAATTTCAATGCTCAACCATCACCTTCAAAAACATTTATCTTCAAAACCACTCTCGTATGGTGTTAAAGAGAATACACCCATCTTTCATTAAAGACACTTCCATGACCATATTGTGTGTATGTGGGAATGTGTGGCACATGAGTGGTGTCCACCCAATAAAATAAAAGGGGTTGCCCAAGTAGTGGTTTCTAAAAAGAAATTGAGAATTGTTTTACCAACAGAGACACAAATCCCAAAGGCAAATTCACAGATACATACACATGTCTATTGAAGCCACAAATTAGACAAATGCATGCAGCACAAACAATGATACTAGTTGGATAATCCTTCCTTAGTAGGTGTCCTCAAAATATGCAGAGTATCATCAAGATATCAACAAGTTTCCTTTACAACCTCAACAAGAAACACAACCTTCTTCATTGCATTTCATAATACAAATGCTTCCATTGTAAACAATATCCATGCAACCAATTCAATGCCACATTCAGAGGCCAAAGCAAAGGCAACCACACACAACAACTGAAAAGAAAGTAAACAAGCACACAGTGGTAAACAAATTGAAATTTTATGAAGATACTCATGGGTACTAATCACACCATAAATATGGATTCTGACACCATGCTTCTCCTCCACTTTCAATGCAACAAACAAGCCAAAATTAACGCAACATCACTTCAGAATTTCCTTGAACACCTGAGGTGCAAGCTTACCTCACCCAGTGTTGTATGTGACTGTTGACCACTGCTGTAGATGCCGAACCTTGGATGAGCTCCGAGAATTTTTGTACTTTTCCTAGAAGCACATGGATTAGATCGACAAGTTTATGGCATGAAACCCCAACACACTACACAGAGTTGACAAGCGACGAGGATTTTACATGAGATTTGAGTGGGCTGGTTTGGATCAAGGAACACGGATTCATTTCAGCTCCACAACGCTAGTTCCTTCATCACAAATGTGAGAGGAAGCTCAGGACGTTGTGGGTAGAACAAGGAAAGATGGCCAGGGCACATGTCTCCGAAGAGTTCAGTGACGGTTGCGGTTGCCTAGAAGCGAACAGAGCCTAGAGAATCAGAGAGCCCTGAACCTAGGTCTCGACGACAGAGTGTCGGTTGATACAACTGACAGTGGAGATCGCCCCCATTTGGGTGTGTTCCTAGGAAAATCGAAGCTCCGTAGGGATCCTGCTGGGGTTGGAATTCGATTGATCAACTGATGGACGACCAGTATGGAGCATCGTTAGACTCCGAAGTTGCCACTGTGCTGCTAGGGGATTGCACGGTGGTGTAAACCTCGGATGTGGAAGGCTTGCTGGATTGCGTGTCAGAGGTTGACCCTCGCTCCCGAACTTGCTTTTGGTAGCCTGAAACTAACGCAGACGCAGATGTGGTGGTGGTGGCGGGGGCACTGTCGGTCGGGGAGCTATCGTGCTGTCGGTAGCGAGTGATTTCCTGCCTGACAGCGCTGAGCTCGGCCTGAAGCGCCTGCGCTTGCTGTTGGAGAGCGGATATGGCACCCATGCAGCCGTAAACTGGGTCGCGGATACGCGCGTTCGCCTCGTAGACAAGGCTGCTTGCGGCGTCGGCACGCTGGTTCTCCGGCACTTCCATCAGCATCTTAGAAACATTGCTGGCGCCGAAGATTTTGTGGACGCAGGCAAATTTCTGGGGCTCATGGGGGGAGAAGTAGGGCGAGAATGGACACTCCTGGGCGCATCGTCTCCGGAGGAGTTTGCAGGCAGCGCAGGGGGTGGAGCCTTGCCCTTGGCTGCTCAGCATCTTTTTCCGGGACTCCGTAATGGACGACTTCACTTTTTCCTCCAGGTGTTCAATCCTGTGAGTAGCATCCGAATAATCCCCTTGAACAAATACAAAACACGATGATGCAAGTACCGTGATCAGTTGATAGTACCTGTTTGTCTCACCGACTATCCGAATGCATCGTCCAACTCGGTGTGAGCCCCAATCCACTCCAATCACCACGCAACAGTTTCAATTCGGTTTCAAGTCCATGCTGAAGAAGACGATGCGCAGGCTGGAAACATCATGCCAAATTGACAATTGCAGACTATATTCTGTATTTCGTTTTGAAATGAATACATGTCTTCGCTGAGAATGGTTGCATGATTGTACAACTGTGATATGCAAGATTCGCTCACATCTCTAAAGCAAAGCAGGTGCTAAAGAGACGAAGAAGTCGGACGTGTAAGGTTTCTCACTCTAGTCGTCGACAGAAAAAAGAATCCAGAATGATGCCTAGAGCGTAGGAGTATTGTGACTCCAAACACCGGCAGCCGAACGAAACACGCAGAATCGCCACTAGAATCTACTAGTCCGACAGAAGTTTACATCCGATTAAACCCCAAATCTAATATCCAAAATAACAGCAGCAAACGCACAGCTTTTTCATAAGCAAAGTGACTAACAAACCAGAGATACGCGTATGATGCACATCATCGATCATAGTGAAGCAATTAGCCGCAAATCATGATTAAGTGCATTCAAATCTACCTCGAAGTCACCCCCTAGTCTACCTGTCGAGAGGGACCCCTCCCCTCTTGTTGTTCTCTAAGCGCGAAGCCCTTTGGAGACAATGAGTTGTAAATTGTGGGCGAGCACAACAGTCGCACGGGAGCAGCCCAAGTAACGTGCATTTATGTTGCATCTTTCTTGTGCGGTGGTTTTGCCCAGCATCTGGGCAGTCATTTGAGAACAACCAGCGAAGATCCCCTCTTATTCATAAGAAACGCGGATCGCCCATTGACGCTGGTCTTATTACTTAATACAGAAAGATTATGAAATTTTAGCTCGGCTCCTCTCGTGTGGGTTTCAATTTTGAATTGGTGAGTTGGTTTTGTCAACAGTATTTAAGTAGATAATGAAAAGGCATCCAGCAGTTTGCGGGGGTTGACCCGGTGCCAGCGGTGATGTAGGTCAGCGAAGATACCGTAGCCAGCACGACTTCCGCGGCCCACTTACACGTTCTACAAGCCTGTCACCACCAGCTTACCTACTCCATTACTTTACTACAAAATCCATGCTCACACCTCGTTTACTTAACTTCTCTGTCTTGCATTCCTACCCCTCCACACAAACGCAAGAAAACCAAACCCCACCGATGCACCACATCGCAACCGTCCTCGACTCGATTTCCCACTCCAGATTGGATTCTGGTTGCTTCCAAATATTGAGTCCAAAGAAAATCGCAATCTTTTCATCAAGTCACTGGAATACTGCACACCCACACAGGCTACTTATCAGGACTTGCGAACCCCTGTAGATGTTACTGGGGTCGAGCGAGAACAGCGTCTGTGGGGCTCTTCCTTCCACGGACTAGACCGACCAAATGAATCGGGGGGGGGGGGGGGGGGGGGAGCTTTAGAGACAAAGACGAGGTTGGTGACATATGCCGAACTATGTCAGAGCAGCGTTCTCCGGGTGGCGATGGGGGAGTGGTCCCAATCGATCCATCCAGTGCATTACATTAATTACAGTTAACGGAAAAGCTAGTAGCGGATCAAAGAGGTCGACGAGCTCTATCGCGCGGGGTGCGTATTATAATGTCACGTGAGGAGCAGTGCAGACAAGTTGTGGCCCTGATAGTGGACATCCATCCGTGTTTGAATTCAACGCGGTCACCCCGTCCCCCCCTCCCCTAATCCCCACCTCCTCCTCCATGTGGGGATGCTGGGAATCCTGTTTGGCGTTGCAGGGAATGCCGTTTCCTCCGTAATCCCCGAACGCCGAAACCTGCACTGGTGCGAGTTTGGCGCTGGGGCCTTCCTCCCTTGCTTGCTGTTGCGGGGAGTCAGTCGGCATCCGGGAAGATTGTCGACGACCACCACAACGCAGCAGCAGCAACCATGCATCCCCACCCACCCCCGCACACGCACACACACTCACACTCACTCACTCTCTCTATCTCTATCTCTCTCTCCCTTTTGTCCTCTCCAAATCTAATCTAATCTAATCGCTGTTTCTGTCTTCTACACTGCTTCTGGATTTTCTTCTTCTTCTTTTTCTTATTTGAGATGGTGCCAGGGGAGTATGGCTGATGATACTTTACGCTTTCACTGTTGCCTCAGTCCTGCTCTCACTATGACTGCTCACAACTCTTCTCCTGCCTTCCTTCCTTCCTTCCTTTGTTGTTGTTGTTGTTGTTGTTCCTCTTTGTTGTTTGGAAGTCTTTGTTACCCTCTTTTAATTTTTTTTTTTTTTTTTTTTTTTTTTTTTTTTTTACTTTTTATGACTAGCATGTGTCTATGTATGGATATAATTTTGTGTGCGTATTTGTCATGCTTGCTAAGAAAAAAATACTTGTGTTTTTAGACGGTTAGGAATTTATTTTTATTTAATTTTTTTTTTATTCTATTTTGTGGAATTTATTGTTAGCAAGGGTTTTGTTTTACTTTTTGTTGATAGTTTTTGTTCATTTTCTAAAATTGGGTTTTTAATTCAAGTGTATCTGTTTATTGATGTACTTGGCAAAATACAGAAAAAGAAATAGTTGTGTGTGTGTTTGGACTAAGTAGAGTTGATCCTATTCTAGATATAGTTAATATATGGGCACCATGTTTTTGAATGTTATGTTTACAAATTTAATCACATGTGATGAAAGATTCCGAAAATTAAACACATAAGGTTATATACAAAATTAAAAATATTATAAATTGATCAAGACAACAATGTCCAAATAAACAGAATCATATAAACATGATCCTTAAAAATGTTTAATTGAAGTACAACTTCTATTCATCTAACATTCTTACATGTTACAATATTTGAATTTAATTTTGTTTCCAACTAGAAAAACTAGATGATATATTTGTAATATTTTAAAGAATTACATTTCTTTAGGATAACAATATATATATATATATATATATATATATATATTAAATATCAATACTAAATTCATGTTTTATAGTTTTTTAATGTACACAATTGAATTTATATAGTTGGCATTTTGGAAATGACAAGATGTTTGTATATAAATATTATAAAGGTAAGTAACTTCTAAAAGTTTACATAATAATGTATAAACATTAGAAATAAATCTTACAATTAATATATACACTTTTTGTAAATTACATGGTGTTAGATATATAATACAATGATTGTATTAAAAAAATTAAAATTTCGAATTAATAAATATGATAAAATATTATATTTAACATATAATTTTATATTTATATAATCCTTGTATATTTACAAAATATGATATAAAATATAAAATTTTCAAAGATTAAATAAAATATAATTAATATAATAATATCAAATATATATGTATATATATATATATATATATATATATATAAGATTGTATAAAAATATCTTTTAAATTTTTTATCTCTAAATCTTTGTATCATATTAAAAGTAAAATTATACTTCAAGAACATACTATCACGGCCATAATCATGTAAGCTAATAATTACATATAGAAATAGGTAGAAGAAAGTAAAAGTAGGTAAAAATAAGTTAATTCTATAATATTTAATATAGAAGCTTCCTAGAAACTTCTTAGAAACTTCTTAGAAACTTCTTAGAAACTTCGTAGACACTGCTTTGACTTCATAGGTGTTTTTAATTGACTTTTTGGATTAGAAACATGGTCAACAAGTTGGCCATGTGCCACACATGTTGTTAGCTTGAAGATCAAGCTAACTATGTGGCCCACACGTAGAAAAACTTGCCTTGTAAGTCAAGGCATGTGCCCTACAAAGTCAATACATATTGGAGGTCCTATAGAATGTCGCCACGTAGACCCTAGTTAGAGAGTATATATAGAGACAAGAGTGAAGGCTTCTTCACTCTTGTCAACTCCTTTCTTGCTTCTAGTCTAGTTTCAAGGGTCTCTAGTTTTCTTGTCTTTTGGCAATAGCCATTCCAGTTTCTCTTTCAATATATATACTTGTTTATATATATTTTGTTACCTCTCTTTGAGTGAAGGCTCACTTATGTGAATTATTTTTTCATCGAGTTCTTGTCCTTGACAGATTGACAAGAGTACACCTACAATATCAGAGCTTTGTCTAATCTTGATTAAGAGTGGATTACCCCTTTTTCTTGATAAGATATAAGCGTATTAGAAGTTGCAGATTACCCTCTTCTAAATTGATATTTTCCTTAGTATTTTCTTTGTCTGCAAGTCCTCTCTTCTATTTGTCTTGAGCGATATTAGACATCTTCTCTCTTCTAAGTATTATCATGGCAGAACTTCTTGAAATGAAGAGTGCAATGGCACAAATGCAAGAGCAATTGAAGGAGTTAATGCTTGCGATGTATCAACTCAATTTACCACCACAAGGAGCAACAAGATTGGTAGGAAGTGAAGATATAGAAATGGTTGGAGCTGCTTCAACATCTGCACCAAACCATGTCCTTTCTCCTATGGTGGAACGCCCTTCAAATGTTAGAGAACCAAGAATTGCCCTATCCGAGAAGTTTGATGGTACTAGATCCAAGTTTCGAGGATTTATCAAGCAAGTGCAACTTGAAATTGAACTTCAACCCCAAAGCTATCCAACTCCAGGATCACAAGTTAGATTCATTGGTACGCTTCTTTCAGGTTCGGCACTATCGTGGTTTTCATCTTTTCTTGAAAGACGAGATCCAATATTGGATAATCTAGAGGCTTTTTTGGCGGAGTTTCGATCTATGTATGGAAAACATGATGCAATTCGTGTTGCAACCAATAAGATCCGTATTGTACGACAAGGCAATCGATCAGTAACGTTATATGCTTCACAATTTCGACAACTTGCAACTGATATCAAGTGGGATGATGCTGCACTTATTAGCCAATTTCTCTACGGATTACAATATGAGGTAAAAAAATTAATGCTCAACTTACCTGATCCTCAAACATTGAGTCAAGCATTTGACTATGCTATGAAGTGCGACAATCATCTTTTTGAATTCCGATCTAAGAACCGTACAAGCGGACCTCAACGTTACTATAATTCAATGGCAACACCAACACCTCTTCAACACATACATTCGAAAGTAGAAGATATGCAAATTGATGCAGTACGTTTCAAACCTCTTATTGAGCAAGAAAAGACTCGTCGTCGTCAAGAAGGATTATGTTTATATTATGGAGAACCAAAGCACAATGCTCAACATTGTCCAAAGAAACGACGCAATCACAAAATGAAGAGTATGGCTGTGAAAGAAGATAATATGTCAGAAAACGAGTTTATTCAGCTACAATAGGGACCGTGCGGCTGGAACCTTGCACAACTTCTAATAAAGGTCCTATTCTCTCCTCAGAGCCCTCTCCTTGTTTTACATTAAATGTTATTTTACGACCTAAACATTACAAAGTCTCTGCCTTGTTAGATTCAGGAGCCTCGGTGTGTTTTTTAGATGAAGAATTTACTAAAAGACATAGCATATCTTTAGTAAAGAAAACTAAACCTGTTCATGTAGAAGTCATAGATGGTCGTCCATTGTCTTCTGGAGATATTACTCACGAAACCCTTCCTATAGAAGTAATAATCAATGGTCATAATAGTTTTGTAGTATTTAATATCATTAGATCTCCTTTTAACCCAGTCATTTTAGGTTTATCATGGTTAGAAAAATACAACCCTCAAATAGACTAGATTTCTTGAACTCTCACTTTCTCTAAAAGTATAACTAACAGTGTAGTTAAGCAAGTAGAAAGTCATAAGTCTAGTTCAATTAAACCCGTATTTATAGGTGCAAAAGCTTTCTTGCATGCTGCTATGAAAGAATCACCATAC